TACATTGTGACCAACACGCTCTAAGTTAGAATATTGAAAATTACTTCTGACCCTTTACCGCTACACCATCCCAAGATCCTAAAATACGGAAAAAAAAGTTTATTTAGGATGATTTCTTTATTTTATTATCAATCATCTAAAATAAATTGCTATACTTTTATTGTATACTATTTACTATATTTTTGTTATTATTAAAAAAAATAGACAAGTTTCTTAAATTGATAAGATTGAGTTCTTTTCTTTTGTTTTCTTTTTCAAATTCAACCATGTGTGAGAGGGGAGATTTTTATTCCTGATTTTTTTGGTCCATAATAAATGACTTAACTAGTTGATTTCAAATATAGCGAACCCATAAATTAGAAATTCCATTCATATCCTTTGTTTGGACATTAGAAAAAGAGATATTTGTTTATGTATACATCTATTGATTAGATAAATGAACAAAATATATGTTTTATCCCTAACTTTTAAAAAGTATTCAGTAAATTCGTGAACTTTCAAAATTTTCATTAAATAAATTCCTAAAATTTAAAAATTATCTAATTTAAATAGAGTTACTATAGGAAACAAAAATTAAAATTTATGAACTCATTAGATATAAACAAAATTGAAAGTTTTCTTTTAAAGAAAAAAATATTAATCATTTTAAAAATTTATAGATCCATTCAAGGAGAAAATTTATAATTTAGCTAAAAATGAATGATGAAAATTAAAAATCTTATTTATTCAAAGTTAGCAACATAATATTTGAAAGCTTATAGTCCAAAAATGGAATTACTCTTAATAGTTTTTAATTATTTAAAAAACAATTTTCTAACCCGCACTGAAATTCTTGGAACGTGAATTCAATAATGTTCTCTTTTCATATGCTATCTGACAACAATTCTGGAGCGTGCTCTACACGCTTAAACCGTCGCGTCCCAGGTCAGCAAAAAAACATAAAATACGGATTTCTTTTTTTTTTTTTTTTTTGGTTCCTCTTCAAATAATCGAATGGAGATAGGAAGGAGACAGAATTTTCTAAAGGAAGGCAAAACTCCGGTCGGACACGTGTCGAAATGACGAAATGACACGCGTATGAACCTGCCTGATTAACTAATCCTCATTTACCTAAAACCGACCAATCATAGTCCCTTTTTTATTATGTTTTTTTAAGTTATTTTTTCCCAATTAGATGACTCTGACTAATGGGGCCCACTCCAAAATTCTAAACTTGACCAGAATACCCTCTCATAATTTAATCTAAATTATTTTTCATTTCTCAAATATATATGTTCATTTTTGTACCCCTTTAACAACCATATTCATTTTAGTTTGTTAAATTATCAACTTAATCTATATAATTTAAATTTAATAATTGACTTTTAAAAATTTCAATTTGACCGTTAGAGTTTGGTTAGGTTTCACAAATTTATTTGTAATATGTGATCGTTTTATATTTACACGACAATGGTTGGTGCTTTCTATTTAATTACTTGCGTTAGTTAACAGTATTGGAGCCTAAAGTTGACTAAAAAAAAGATAAATTGATGAACTTTTAGGTAAATAAAAATATGTTTAAGGATGATTTATAAAATATAACTAAATCATAAGAATCAAGTTGTAATATTTAGCCAAAATAAGCATAGCTCAGCGATAATTGCTATATACCTTCAATCAAGAGGTTGTGAGTTCGAATCCTCTCTCTAACATGTTGTACTTAAAAAATACTAAAAAAATTGTAACATTTAACTCTTAAAAAAATGCAATGACATTTAAAACTATAGAGAAACTAAAATAAGAACACACCATATAAACTAAATTACAACTTTTAATACTAAAAAAATTTGTTCTATTATATAATTTCAATAATCTGTCCACATCAAATAGATAAAATTATACAGAATGCGTGTGAACTTTAGGATAAATTTCAATTATTTTTCTTGCATTTCAAAATTTTCATTTCTACCCTCAACCGTTAAAATTGTTTCAAAACAACAACTCTATTAACTTTAATTTTCTATTGAAAGGAAGACAAAAATCATACGACGGAGCAGTGAGTTATAATAAAGAAGGTTACATGTGGGTACAAATGACCGTCAAAAGTCTTAATCACACTCAAAATTATGTTGATTATAGAGAAAAGAAAATGAGTTTTGGTTGAAATTGTGTTATTAAAATGGAGAAGCCACACACGGTAAGAATTGATAAAGTCACAAAAACTAATAAAATTCAAAATCAAACGTTTGTAAAATTAAAGCAAGAGAAATATATAAGAGAAAAATTGTAGGAGAGTAGGGTATGTGAAAAGTATAGGTCTGAGGAAGCGAGGAAGAAAGAAAAACATGATTGTGTGATGGAGGAATGAGGTTTCCATATGTAAACATAAGAAATTTATCGATCGAGTGATTGTGATCTCTAAGTTCGATTGTCTTTGATTTATTTGTTAGTTTCTTCGCCCTCTTCCAGTTTAGCATTAGTCTAAATTTTTGTCAATTGATCATGAAAGGGAAGCCCCAAATTAAAACTTTGTCCACGGATAACAACACTTTTTGAACTACATTTTATGAGATTTATATTGGATTATTATTCATTAGGTTTAGTTTCTTTAGGACAAATTTATGCATATAAGATATATTTTTCAAGAATTAATAATCGAGAAGGAAACAAGACATAAATGGATCAAATGGAGAGGAAAATCATATCATAGCTCAAGCGAGTAAAGAAGATATCACAACACTTATTGGAGCCCAAATACTCAAGAGAACAGCGATGGAGTGCCCGAAAATGTGTTACGATGCCTGTAGCACAAAATAGAGAAAGATGCAAAATTCTCACTCGAAAGGGCAGAGCCTAGGTGCTACCACAGTACCGTGGCACTTTGAAGTTTGATGTCTGCCCGATTTTTCCTATGTAACATCATGGCACTCACTAATGGCATCATGACGCTGTTGCATGTTTGCTTTATAAATTTAGGTTTTACCGTTGCAAAAGGGACCTTTTACACATCTTTGGGAGAGAGAACATGATATAGCTCGAAAATAGAGGTAAAGGATAATAGAGAAGCTTAGAGAAGGGATTTTCAAGGCGTGGAATCGTGGAGATTGATTCAAGGACGATCAATCGACACAACAAAACTTTTATTTCTTTTCTCTTGAGTTTTGTAGTTTGTTATCGAACTTTCTTTGAGACTTGTGGTTTTTCATTAAATATGAGTAGCTAATTTCCTTTATCATAGGGATTGATGTAGTCATTGAACTTTATGGATTGATTGTTTAATTCTATCAAATGATTATAATGTTCTATTTATGTTTCTCACTGCTCAATGTCTTTAATCTATTTGCCATATATTTGAAATCTTACGTTTAGGAGGAGTGATTTAGAGTTAGAATTAGGATTCATAACCAAAGAGGTTTTAAGATCGGGAGATTTAGAAGTCCTTTAGAAGTCGTTAAACGACTTATTTTTTAGAACTCTTGCTTATTATTAAAACTAGATAGGGATATTGGTTTATCAATTAGTAAGTAGAATTGACTTGCACTCGGAGAGTCAATCGAGATTTTAGAGTTCTTAGCCTATAGAATTCATATTTTATTCAATCTTGAGTAATTAAGTAATTGTTTTATAAATTCAATAAGTAAAATAAATTTCTTAGTACCTTTATTTCAATTGATTTTCTCTTTATCATGACATGTTTATTTGCTTTGATTATATTTTTTTATTAAATTTTTTCTCTAAATAAAATTGAGCGATTGTATATGTGGTATCGGAGTGAGCTAGAAATCCAATCTAGAAAATGATATCGGTATTGACTTACTACTTTTATTAAAACTTGATTGCGGGAAACAATTTATGCTACATCCATCGTCTATGGTTTGTTTTTCCCTAAAAAATTTTGTTTCCTCCTATATATTTTGATGGTAGGAGGAGAAACAATGGTTTATCCTAACCCCAAAATTATTTCCTCAAATGATGTTACTTCAAATGTGTTTGGTTTTTCAATTCAGTACATTAGTTTCCCATCTTCGTTTTAATGGGATAAAATGATTATTTTGAAAAATTTTAAAAGTTAAAAGGTTAAAATAAAACTTTTGAAAACGATGGAGGTATAATTGAAAATTATCTTAAAATTTATAGGCACAATTGAAACCACTTAAGCTCACACTTACCTCTATTTTCACAACTCACTGTCACAAAACAACTCACCGCCACATTATCTGTCGCGTCACATTTCTCTTTTTCTTTTTAACAAAATGATTGTTTTAAAGTAATTTTAAATGTTAATTATAGAAATGAAACTTTTGAAATCTTAAGTGCTCGTTGAAACTTACCAACAATTTAACAAATATTTTACTCATCAAATAAATAAACACATCACTTACCATATTAGTGTTGGGTATATACAAAGCTAGTTAATAAACATTTGAATATGAATATACAATTTATTGTTTTTGTCGTATTGTCTTTAATCAACAATATTCAATCATAAAACGCTTCTAAGCTACTCGCTATAGATACAATTAAAAATTAAATAGGTAACGCATATACGAGAGAATTTTGTACGCCTAAAAATAGTTTGTTCCCTAAAATGTATACCACTTTAGTCCTAAAATTTTCAAACTCAAATTAACAACATGAATCTATTAAACACATGATTGAAAGTTTAAAAATCTATCGGATTCCATGGAATCTATAGAACAAAAATTTTGAAAATTTAAATACCTAGTAAAAACTTGTAAAAAAAATTAAATAGAGTACCTTGTAATTTAGAGAGAAAAAAAAACAAAAAGATAAAACAAGTATGTAACACTTTTATGGCAGGGGTATAATTGTCTTTCCATATAAAAGCAGCTAGTCCCAAATTCCCAATTTAATTAGGGCGCCTCTTCTGACTGCTTGAAGACAGTTGGTGAAGACCATGATATTATCCATTAAATATATATCTTTTTCTCCAAAAAGATAAAAATAAAAATAAAATGATATTAAATTAATTAGTGGCTATTTTGTTCCTTGCAAAAACCAGCGCACTGGTTCTTCTCCATCGCTCTCTCTCTCCCTGAATCGCTTCGTTTTTCTTCCATTGCTCTCTCTCTCTTTATCTCTTTCTCTCTCCTCTGTCTAATTCGACCCTTTTGAAACAAACCCTTTTGCTTGTTTAGATCCATTGCGTCTCAATCTGTGTGAGATTTCGCGTTATTCAAATCATTTTCTCCCATTCGATTCACCGATTTTGAAAACCTACAGCGGGCTCTGTTTTCGTTTTCTTCTCTTGCGATTTGGCAGCGATTGTCTGTCGAATTCAATCCTGCAATCGCCGTTTCTGTGCGCAGGGATTTGATATTGTTCATCCGATCAGTGTCCGGCGATTTCGTTGACTTTTATTGAGGATTGTAGGACTTTCGATTGAGATTTCTGAGGCTGTTTTCGGTTTGGTTTGGGAAATAGAATGTTGGGTGCAGGGTTGCAGTTTGCCCGTGGTTGTGGAGACGATAGGTTTTACAATCCGACGAAGGCTCGTAGGGCGCATCAGGGCCGCCAAAATGACGAGCTCCGGAGAGCTCAGAGCGATGTTTCTGCCGGCCAATCCCCTGCGGTTAAACCGAGCACGGTGTCCGCCGTGATTAGAGAATCCGAAAATGGGTCTGGGTGTGAAGAGCAAGAGCTCCCAAAATCGATTCCGGTGTCGGCTTTTGAGCCAGTGGTGTCGTCGCTGAGTAATCTGGAGCGGTTCTTGCAGTCTATCACGCCATCTGTTCCTGCGCAGTACCTCTCAAAGGTTTGCACTTTTCACCGATCGGAATTTGGGTTTTCTTTTTTGTTGGCTAGTATTTTGGTTTTAGTATGAAGAAGTTGCTTTTTAAATATTTTTCAGTTTTTGCCTTTTGCGGCTCTCAGTTTGACCCTCCTAGCTCAAATAAGCGGCCCAAATTTGTTTTGCTGATTGATGTCTAAGTTCTTTGTTTCAATTCTGAACCATACAAATAAAAGATTCTGCAAGGAAGAAACCGAGTTTGGTTTTGGCCCTGTGGGAGTTGCTGCGGTGGAAAATTTATAGATTGCAGTAAAAGTTGTAATTGTTTTTCTTTGTTTCTAATTCTTAACTTCTTCTCCATGACCTCTAGTTCATCATTGATCAGAGATGAGGGTGGTTTTTTCATAGCTAGCATCAACTTTAAAGCCTCAATCAATGATTCCAATAGTTTACAGCGCCAGTGATATTGTCTTCGATTGTTTTTCATTGCAGACAACGATGAGGGGGTGGAGGACTTGTGATGTGGAATTTCAACCATACTTTGTTCTTGGTGATTTGTGGGAGGCTTTTAAGGAATGGAGTGCTTATGGTGCAGGTGTGCCTCTTGTGTTAAACGACAGTGACAGTGTTGTCCAGTATTATGTACCATATCTATCCGGTATACAGATATATGGTGAATCCTTGAAGTCCTCTACAAAGTCAAGGTATTGTCGTTCGCAGGAAATAAATTCTCTCGATATTACCGTTGGGTGGTTGCTTTCTTTTTTTTTTTGGTAAGCTGTTGGTATAATTTATTTGTGAAATAAAACCAAATGTCCAAGTGAGAGTTTTCTGTATGTCATATTTTCATACCATGTATACTTACATTGCTTGGTCTAAACTTATACCATTGCTAGAAATGTGATTAAAATTAGAACTTTTTGAGGTTTTTTGGGTAAAATGAACTGAAAGGCCAGATAACAGGTGTTTTATAATCGACAGACTAGAATAAACTCATTCGGTTTGGTATCTGAAGTCTTCAATTTAAGCTCTGTGCAAGTTCACTGCTCCAATTTTGAGAGAAAATATGCTTTTAATTACCTAATGAGTTTCTCAATTGTTGTTTTAACAATGAATTGGTACATAATATGTTGAATACCTTAGTAACCTAAACATGATTTTTTCTATGTGATGTAGGCAACCAGGTGAGGACAGTGATAGTGATTTCAGAGATTCAAGTAGTGATGGTAGTAGTGATTCAGAACCTGAACGGGCACTAAAATACATGGGGAAACCACTCAATCATCACCATATATCGTTGGAGCTTCCTCGTAGAATGGAAAGGATATCGTTGCGGGACCAGCTGATTGGACTTCAAGAAGACTGTTCCAGTGATGAGGCGGAATCTTTTAATTCTCAAGGCCAGCTGCTATTTGAGCATCTTGAACGTGACTTGCCTTATAGTCGTGAACCTTTGGCAGATAAGGCAAGTTATACTCAAACAGAGCTCCCCTCCCCTTTTGAAATCGGAAGAAAATACCTAAATTCTTTCTTTTCATCCCATGTGACCTGTTTTCCGATTTCACTATTTTCTCCAGATATCAGATCTTGCCTTTCAGTTCCCTGAGCTCAAAACGTTACGAAGTTGTGATCTATTGCCTTCCAGCTGGTTTTCTGTGGCATGGTATTATCAAGCCTTAAACTTGATTGGAATTTTCTGTACATTCATGTATCACTTATTGTGCTTTGGTGAATTCATTTGCAGGTATCCAATTTATAGGATACCAACTGGACCAACATTAAGGGATCTAGATGCCTGTTTCCTCACCTTTCATTCTTTGTATACGCCAATTGGAGGTAATTAAAGATTCTTTCTGCTTCTTAAATGAGTAATATGTTGTGTAGAGGTCTTGTTCATTCAAATTCTTCATTTTTTTACTGCACAATTTAATGTTTTTATCTCTCTTTATTAATATGGAGAACTTTTTCTGTCTCTTATCGTCTGTATTAACTGGGGTTGATGGTAGGTTCAAACTCTATTTTGAATGGAAATGGTCTCTTGCATTTCCTTTGAAGTGGTTTCATTTATAAACTGGTATTTTACATACAATTGGTATCTTTAGAATGGAAATACCAACTGTTTATATTTTAGATAGTTCTACATAACAAAGTTTGGTGCACACATACCAACGATGACCCTCTTGACAAAAACCAGCAAATGTTAATTTATTAAGTTCTAATTCGCCAACATGAGCTTAGCTCAGCGATAATTGGCACCTGTTTCTGGCCAAGAGGTCATGAGTTTGAATCGATTAAGTTCTGATGGGCTATTATTTTGTTGCGTATGCACTTGTAATAAACTGGTAATTGGTAATGGTCTTCTCATGGTTCTAACTTTAAAGATAAGTTCTAGTGCTCCATGCAACTTTGGGAGTTGACGAACATAATTGTATCCTAATTGTTGGTACAACGATTGGCCTCTTTGAGTCAATTTACGTCTTAAACTCTTTGATACTGATCTTTGTATATTTTATTTTCAGGGGCACGTAGTGTTCAAGGCCCTGTAGTAACATATCCTAGTGAGATAGATGGTATCCCTAAGATGCCCCTACCAGTTTTCGGTCTAGCTTCATACAAGTTTAGAGGGTCTTTGTGGACTCCAAATGGCGGATTTGAGTGGCAATTGGCAAACTCACTTTTGCAGTCTGCTGAGAATTGGTTAAGACTGCTTCAAGTAAATCACCCTGACTTCATCTTCTTCAGCCGGCGGTGAAGTCCTTGCAACATCTATGAAGCCTAAAGGTGGGAATGAGGATATCGTAGCTCGGTACCGTGTTGTAATTTGCTCTTTTGGGGCGCTGTTCTACTTTCAGAAAATTGAAAGGAAAAAGAGGGAAAAAAAGGAAAAATGGGGAAAAAGTTTGTGATAGGACGGGTGAGGTGGCGGAGGGCGACTTAAAACAAGACTCAAGCAGAAGTCAAAAGGGGAAAAAGCAATAAAGGAAAGGCAAAAGATACAGTTGGAGGAAGAATGTCGAAGTTGTAGCCAAAACAGCCCAAAGTTGGTTCAACTTGCTGCTTCTGCTTGCATTGCAGGTTTTATCCTTTTTTATCTTTTTCCTTTTAATTATTGAAAGTTCTTTTTATAAATTATTTACTGTAGGTGAAATGCAAGAAAAAAAAGAAAAACAGGCCCTTTTTTACTGTCCTGATGATGTTAGAATGTAAACTATGTGAGTGAGGGGAATTTTGATAGGAAGGTTATGCTTAGGAGTAAGTTATGGATCCCCGCCAAAAAAATATATATATTTGAATGCGTGTTATGCTCTGTAGTTGCTACGAAAACTGTATAATTCGTTACGATGAGTGTCGTTATCAATGAACTGTCATTCAAGCTCTATCATTCTGTTGCTTCTTTTAGTCTGAATGGGGAGGGGTTGAAATGTTTTGTGCAGATTTGATACATTTTTTAGGTGTTTCAAACTACTTTGTATCAAATGACTGGTAGATTGGATCATTAACAAGATTACCTGCACCATTCTTAATACATTTCTTTGATGTTCTTTTTTTTTTTATTTGAATACAATATTTGGGGTCGAACCTACATATATGCTTTAACCAGTTAATCTATGTTTATGTTGATATTTCTACGGTGTTTCTTGAATGTGAAAGGATAGTCTATGTGAAGGGAGATTAAATAGAAATCATGCTCACGTTACACTTTTCCCAGATAGGAAAGGAAAAATGTTTCATAAATGTATTGCTTAAATCATTTTAACCTTGCATTTAAAGCTATGGGGGCAAAAAGGTCATTTTGCTGAAAAATATGAGACTCGGAGTGTAGATAATTTCTTTAGAATTGTTGTAGAAATTTTCAGCCTGATTCAAGAGTTCTGGATTTGAATTAGCATTTGCATTTGCATTTGCATTTGAATTTGAATTTGTCAGGTAGATTAAAGTCTCAACATTTGAGGAACCGTTTTATATTTTAGAGAAAAGGTTGAAAAATAGTTTTCGTACTCTAAATCCAGGAAAAATAAGTTTGGATAATTATTTTTTAGAAGCGGAGATTCATTCGTCTACGACTATATTATAGTTCATCCAGTCGGAAAGGGATCATGAATGGAAAGACAATTTACGGAAAGGGATCATGAATGGAAAGACAATCTACTTTTATTAAAGTGATTTATCAGAAAATTGAAAATAAATGATCTTTTAACTCCATTGAGTAGCTGGAAAAGTCATTTTGGATAAATAAGGATGAAAGAAATTACATTTCCGTTGTTTTAAATTTCAGTATATAAAAAGATTAAGATTATGATTTTGCCAATTGCTACAAAAAATTCAGAAAGTTTGAAGTTATCTTTCTTTTCAAAATTATGAGATGAAAAATGAATTCAAGATTTGCAATAATGATAACAAAATCAAAAGAATGTTTTTTAGAACAATTGTTTTCAAAGCATTTTAAAAGTATGTGTTTTAAAATAGTTTTATGTTTCCAAAGTAAAAATAAAATAGCAGAGAATAAAATCCAACAAACTTAAAAGTTCCCAAAACAAAAAAATTACTAAACAAATTTTTAAAAACCACACGCACCCAGAAAAACTCCAAATTTCACTCTTCCAAAAATAATGTATGAAACCAAATCAACATATTCCATCTGTAAGATCTGATGACAAACTAATAAATTGGAAGTATAAAGGTAATAATATAAAGGAGTGAAAATAGGCCAAAATTCATTTTAACTATGAATCTTGGAGTTCACAGTTAAAAACCAAAACATAAAGCAACTGCATTTTCCACATCTAGATTTAAGTATGAGATCACTTTACACATTCGTAGCTTAGCAAGAACAACCTGATACTTTGATCTACCTATCTTTCTTTCCCAGAATAAGCTCTAATCAACCTTGACCCTGCAAGCAACTTCTAATCATCCAAACCTGCCATAGCTAAACCTTCTCGAATCCAGCAGTTCGTCGATCATGCTGCTCATGCTGTGCAATATCAGAAGCCACCATGCCAACGCCACCTTCATTCTGGTGCTTCTGCCAGCCTCCAGTATCGGCTCTCGAGTGCGTTAAGTAGTAAAGGATTGAAAACACCAATGAGAGAAATGTAATTGCTGCTGCAGCAGCGAACACACCACAGCGGAGCGTGGTGCACGACAAGTTTTTGATGGGCAAAGCTCCTCTGAACTTTGTGTGGTAGGCATTCCTCACGGACCCAGCCAGCAACAAAGACTCCGCTCCCAAGAACAGACTCCTGGTTTCATTTTTCAAAACTTGGCGTTAAGAATATGTAAAAGAGATTAAGTTTACCATAATGGATCAACTTAAACTTTTGGATTTTGGATTTAATAGTGTGATGTAACACTTAGCACAGTTGTTACTTGGAGGCTTAGAATCAGTTCATAGTCCGAAACTGAATAAGAATCTCTAAATCATATCCTCATACAGACATTTTAAGAAGCAATAAGCAGAAACAGAATTCAACACCTCAAGACATGTCTAACTGATGATATTCAGTTTGGAAGGACTGAAAATGAATGCTGAAACAGATACTTGGATTAACCATTTTATAACTAAGATGGAATTATAACACTGTTTGACAATCAAGAAGTTCTTGGTGAAGTTCTTCTGAATATGGACTTCTATCACAAAATTAAGTAGGTTCAGAAACATCATTTGGACAAAGAAATAGTCTCAGAAGTAAAGATCATGCCAATGACTCGCAATTTTAATAATATCAACATGCCCTCGATCTGCTCTCACTTTACTCAAAACAATCCAAATCTCTAGGTTGAAGAACTCGGCCACATGACTCGCAATTAGATACGACAAACATCCAGGAATTAGCGAAACGGATCTGTCGGTAGCATAGAGTATAATTTGGGGACCGGAACAATTTCTTATCAATATTCAAATCAAATCGAGATACCGATTTAAAAAACAACTAGAGAGTGAGAGAATTAAGAGAGGAGAGAGAAAGAAGGGAAAATCACCAAGAAACGACGAAGAGGACGATGGCACAGACAGTGGATCCTCCACTTTTCAAGCCCTTGCCGCAGCAGAGACACCTGGTGACAGCCATAAGCAGTGTGTGGCTAATGAGTAGCAAACCAAACGCCGAAAGGCCGTACGCCGTGGAGGCATCGGAATCGTAGACGCAGTGAGTAGTCTCGTCGTACTCATCCGGCACTACAGTTGCCTTGAAGGTCCATGAACAAACACAAAGAAGAAGTTAGCAGCTTACAGAAGCCTCAATTTACAGAGAAATCAGGAAACAGAGAGACGGAGATACCGTGCTCCGGCGCATTTCAGCTCCGATGGCGAGGACGAAGGCGATGAGGTGCAGAGAGGCGATGATGGCTATGACGGACAGAGAGGTAGCCATTGTTGTACTGTACTGTACTACTCCAACTCAAACTCCGGCGAAGCTTCCGATCTGCGGCAGCCACTCTTCTTCTTCTTCTTCTTCTTCTTCTTCTTCTTCTTCGTTCTTCGTTTTTCGTCTGTCAATTTTTCAAGAATAGGATGAATTTTCGGTTTTGATGCTTTTTGTTTTCTATTTGCTGATGTTTTTTTTTTTTTTTAAATTTTGTTTTTGTTTTTATTTTCTTATTTCTGAGTAAATGCACTTTCTTCTTACGTCACGTGTCCGATTTTTCAATTTCATCCTTTTAATTTGATTTTGTCTTTAATATTTTCAGATTTGTTTAATTAAATTTCTATTTAATATTGAAATTAAATAATTAAAAATTCTAACTTTGTCCAATGAAGTTTCAAAATATTCTTAAAAAGGAAAAAAAAATAGTAAACTATTATTTTAGGGATTTTTTAAAATAATTATTTTTTAAAAACAAATGTCAAAACTAGTGTAGGTTTCAAAGTAATTATAAAAATAGGATAGATAAATCACAGGGATAGACTGTGATTTGCCCAAAATCGTAGGCGATGGCTGCAATTTCATCGTAAATCGCAGCCATTACCTGCGACTAATGTTATTGACCGCGATTTAGCTAAAGTCGTACTCATTACTGCGACTTCTCTCGAATGTGGCACAAATGGAACCACGTGACGAACTCTTTATTCCTTTTTTTTATTTTGAATTTGGGGCTGCGACTTCTTTGTTTATTTTTTGTTAAATTTTAAAGTTGCAGCCGTATATACTTCCCCCACTTCTTAGATTGATTTACCTACAATATGATAGACATATTCCTGTAATGCAATAATTTCAAACAAAATAATTATAAAACAAACAAAATCCTAATTATACATATCCCAAAATTTGAGTTTTGTTTTAAAGCCATGTATTTCGTGATGCGAATGACAAAACATGTGAGTTTCATGTAATTTATACTTTGATTTTTATGTTTTTATTAATTTAATTATTTTTTATCGATTTAGTTTATATTAAATTTAAATATTATTTTATAAAACATACGAAGATGAAATAGAGAAGCTAAATGACATTTTGATCATCGAATTGGTTTTAATATAATTTTAAACTTTTAGACTTTAAATGACATTTTAATCCAAAGTTAAAATAAAATAACAAAAAATAAATAAATAATTTAATCGCATCTTAATTAAATTTCGCAATATTAATAAAATAACAATAAATAAATTAAAATATAAATAAAATAATAAAAAGGTGTTCCAAAAATAAAAAATAAAAAGATGAGACTTCCACCCAGTCACCTGCCACCTGAAGGCACGGTCGGAAGTATTGTAGGCGAATTTTGGACCTAACCTATTTTTATCGATAGTTTTGAAAATCTAACGTACATTTTATTTAAATTACATTTATTTTGTAATTATTTTTAAACTAACGTTATTTATGTAATTTAAAATTAGATTATTTTACAACTTTGTCCTTATTTTAGTTCTTATTGGATTGTTTTTTACCTAAAATTTACTTAGTATTTGACTCGGTTTGAACCTGCGTGGTTTTAAATTTTAATACATGATCAAATTAGATATTTTTAAAGATTAAAACAGATATTTGGACAAATGTAGAATAATCTTGAAAATGTAGGATTAAAATAAATTTAAAAAAATAAAACTTTAAACAAATAAGTCTATTTATTTGTGATGTTAAATAATATCTTGTTTGTTTGGTTGTTTCTTGAGTCTCGAGCTACCAAACCAAGTGTAAGACTTGAACTTGGGTCATGTACATTAAAAAACCAAACCTCTTACCACTATTCCAAATGTAAATATTATATCTATTTATAAAAACAAAACTTTTAATTTCTTTTTTAAAACTAAAAAAAGAAACTTACGAATTTGGTTAAATTAAAACAAAAAAAACAACGTTTTATTTATTTCGAAATTAAAAAGATTATTTAAAAGAAAAAACTTTTATTTCAAACTTTAACCAAATAAGATCAAATTTACTCAAAATTGATTTTCTGGGTTAAGATTCCTTTCAAAATCATAACAAAGTTAGACACAAAAAAATAAAATAAACCTTGTTGAAAATTTTCAATAAAAAACTAACTTTTAAACTTTAAATGGAAATTTAAAAGAATCCAAAATTTTTTTTAAAACAAGATTTATTTTATAAAACTCTTTTTTTTTTTAGATATTTTAAACAATATTTTAAAGTAATATCTTTTATTTAAACAAAATTAATTTTATATTTATTTTAAAAAAAGAAAAAAAAACTTCTTTATTAGAAAAAGAAAAACCTTTTTTATTTTAAAACAAAATTTAAAATATCAAATCCTTATTTTCTTTTCAAAACTTATTTAAAATTTCTTTGATATTTTAAAAAAAGGTTTCTTATTATAAAAAAGTTCTTTCCAACATATTTTTTTACTCACTTAAAAGTACATCATTGGGAAGGAGGTTACTGTAGTGCAGTGGGTCTGGAAGAAGTTGGAGTTCGTGATTGGAGGTCCTGTCGTGGGTATGAAGGAGAAAATGTGGTGGTGGGATAAGAAAGGAGAAGAGATAGTGTGGGGGTTATGGAGGAAAAAGACGAGTTTTATAGAGGGGGAAGAGATAGTGTGGTGGTTATAGAGGAAAAAGACGAGTTTTATAGGGAGAGAAAGAAGAAAAGGTGAGGGTGTGAATTTCTAACTCTTTCAACGGCCTCCCTTGTGTATTGTGTGCCCTTTAAAAATAAAATTATTTACTTAAAAACAAATCATTCTTATTTATCTATTTTTTATTTTAATAATAAAACAAAATCTAAACAAACCATTTTTTATTTTCTTATTAATAAAATTAAACATTTAAATAAATCTAACATTTTAATTTTAGTTAATTTATATTAAAACTAATAATAAAGTAAATCTATGTTATTCTTTAATTAAAATAAAATTTAATAAAGTAGAATACAATAATATAGATTAAAATTAAAATTAAAAATAAATCAGACGAAATACGTGTCATATAAAAATTTAATCATAATTACAAAAGTTAGCATTAAATGACCATTAAATAATTTAGGAAAGAATATATTTTTAGAAATATGTAGTAAGATGGCACTAATTGAGGGTAATTTGGGGACAAAAATCTTAATTTAAATTTATTTTTTAAATCTATATTTGTAAACCAACATCTGTGAAAATACGGAGATAATTTATTGTTTTCATATTGTAAGGGAGTGAAGTCGAGGTCTAAGATCTGTTTGGTAATTTTTCATTTCTGATTTTTTTTTTCCCTAGTTTTCTCTTTTTTAATAAATAAAAATAAGATTGTATTTCGCAACTATTTCTTTCTTTTTTATTGAAAAAGGAAAAACAAAATCGTGTTTGTCAACCTTTTTTTTTATATTATTTTCTAAATTTTTAATTAAAAAAGTAAAAAAATAATTTACAAATATTGATTTTTTTAAAATTATATTCAAAATTTGTATGTTATATTTATTTTTTTTAATATTTAATATGCATCTTATAAGCAAAGAATAATAAAATTGTTAAAGGTGAATTCTCAGCTTACACGTGGCATAAGACGGTTGGAGCAACAACCTTATGTGTGTCGTTTTGAACCAAGATGTCTGCTTCGTCATGAAGTCTCATGTCGAGCCGAGCCGTCGCGTAGGCCGAATCAATCTAATATTAAACCTTGGTTACCTATGCTCAGCCAATCATCCGACATACTCTGTGACAGCCCACGTGTTCTATGGCAACCTTAAAGAGCCGTTGAGGCCCTTCGTTTCATTTCGAGGTACGCAATCAGATCAATTCTCTCTCGGATTGACTTGAGCACTTGCTGACTTTAACATTGGAGTTTCTACTCTGTTTTGCAGGTCCTCTGCATAGCATCTGGAGCTCGCTGTCCAGTTCACCTTTGCTGAACTGAAGCTCGGAGACTTGGTTAAATTATTGATCAAACAAAAATAATATTTTAATTTATGTATTGGAAAAAATTGGGAAATGAACTAGAAACATGAAACTTGAGACGTGTTTGGCAACATTCTCACCGCTTATTTTTTATTTTTCTTTGTTTCTAATTTTGTAGAAACATAAGCCAACAATGTTTTTTTTTTCCTTTTTTTTTGTTTGTTAAAATCTGAACTTCTTTTCGGAAATTTTGGTTTTCTTAATGGATTGAATTTATTTGCTTATTTATATATTTAGATGTTCATATGGCTGGATCCATAATAGTTTGTATGTTGAATTTTGGATGACTGGTTGGTTATTTATTTAATTTTGACTAGCATATCAAACTTTTAATTTCATAAAATTATATCTAAAAGAAATTCATAAAAATTAAACATTGAAATTAAATACATAGTAAGATTAACATCCTCTTAAAACTAAATTTAAAATTTGTTTAGCTAATAAAAGACACAAATTTCAACCGACAATACATTTGTTTTTTTAAAGAACCGACAAAAAATTTAAATTAAACCAAAAAAATGCTCAAACTTTATTTATCTTTAATTTAATTTGTTTATTCTCAGTATATTTTTCTCTAAAAATTTTGTAACCTCTCTTAATTTTTAATTTCATCTCACTTTATTTATCTCTTTAAAATATGTCTCTCACTCTCTAAAATTTCTCTCTCAAGTTTTTGTTCCTCTCTCTAACTTTTCTCCTTTTAAAGCTTTCGTCAAATTCTCTCTTTAAACTTCAAATCCTAACCATTCAAAATCGTTTTTAACTATATAAAAATCACTTGAAAAAATGGTAAAATAATTATATAAAAATCACTTTCAATTGTTATTAAAATATAATTACAATTACATGGACTATAGTTGAGAAAATATTAAAGATAGGAAGTAGGGCAATGCAAATGAGATATTCCCACATCTGCTTTTGAAGCACCAATCAAATCCAAGAGCTCACTATCTTTCAATTCCACACCACTTCTCACCCGAAAAGGGAAACCCTTTCTTGGGATTATGAACAATTCTCATCTCTAAAATATCAAAGATATTTCATATTGATGAGAAGAAACAACAAGTAATGATAAGAGTTTTTGTCATTAGTGGGTCAAATTATGAAATAGTTATTAGATTAAATATTTGCAAATCTAGATTTTCAATTTTAAATTATGTTATTTTATCCCAAAATTACCTTTAATTGATACCAATTTATTTGATGGGATTAATTTTGTATTTGAATAATTATATTGAATATATATTCATATCTTTCCGTCTTTCGTAGACACCAAATTTGATTTTTAATTTCAAGTTTTCAAATTTGAAATCTCTAGGTTATATTCAAATATTAAAAAAAAATCAAAATTTGGTGGGTCTCATCCAATTCCTTCTCATAATTTGTTCTATAAATAGTCTATATGTGTGAATAATTTTAGAGCCTTTATAAAAAAATAATAATAAATAAATAAATATTAGTGTCCATTGACCCAATATATCAGGTCGTAAAGGGGAAAATAATTGTAGTAAGAACATTTATATTCTCGCTTTTTTTTTTTAATTTTTTACTTTTGGCTTTGAGTAATTTTCGCATCACAATGGTAAATAAATTAGCAAGTGAAATAAATTGCTAAAATTTTACTGAGGTATAATTTCAACAATTGTTTTTATTTAAAGCAAAACCATATAAGACACACCATGGGCAAATTATTTGACCGTGTGATTAAAATTCGATTTCATTTTGATTCCTTGAAAGTTTAACATAGTTTTTATGGTTACATTTTCTTATGTAACATGTTTTCATTAGATGCAATACAATATGTTGGCATTTAGTATAATGTATAGTGATTGAATTAGTCAACTATCTATTATAGTATGGATTGGGTGGATTTTTTATTAAAAATATATATCCTTGAAAACGTTTTCTTTATTCATTTATTTGATGAAAAAAACCCACAAACAAATATTTGAAAGCTAGCTCAAATGCTAGACTTCAAACAAATATGAACCTTATGATAAATGATAAATTAACTGCATAATTAAAATGACTTCTTATGAAAAGTTTAGGACTCTGTTGGGTAACATTCTCATTTCATGTTTCTCGTTTCCAATTTTCGTAAGAAATTTAAGTATTTTTCAACTAACATTGTTTCTTGTTTCTCATTTTTTGAGAACATTCTCATAATTGTATAGAGATTTTGGAAACAACCAAAACTAGTTCCAATTTGCTCCAAAACATAAATAAAAAAAATTGTTTTATCGTACTTGAGTTCTTAGAGGTTAGAATCATGTAATACATTTTTCTTCATTAAAAATAAAGAAACGGAAACAAGAAACAATAACGTTTTCAAACCAGCCCTTAGTCTAAGATTCGAGAATTGATGTACCAAAATAGAACCTTTGAAAATTATAAAAGCCAAAATAAATTCAAACCATTTACACTTCACCAGTCACTGCTGAGAATAGCATATAGGGTATGTTTAGTATAGTCCGAAAACAAGCAAATTCAATTCTTGAATACAAAAAAATGACATATCCCTACTCTACAATGCCTTCATTGCACCAATATAAAAATCTATTTCAACTGCATGTACATTCTATAATTTTAAAATAGATTTTAATCATTCTAACCTTAAAAATGGAGCATTGGATTTCACTTTCCAAGTTGTTTTCTGATTTGGGTGGAGGAAATGTCCATACGAAATTTGTCTGGAGGAATTGGGATGAACATGTCTCTTAGCTCTTCTGGAATCTTAAAATCTTCAAGAACCTGAGTCAAACCATTCAAAATAAATAATGGGGGAGAAAAAAGAGCGTCGGGATAAATCCAGAGGTACAGACGTTTTAAAACACTTAATCTTACGTACTTTGAAAACACCGTCTATATTTCGACCACCGACAAGGAAGGTGCACCCCGTGCTTTTACATCGGACCAAAATATCCAGCATCTTCTTGTAATCCCCATCGTAGTATTTGGGCTGCAAATCAATGTAAAGCCATGTAAAGAAACCATGCTCATTTACAATCATTTTTCTCTGTTTTTTAAACTAATTAAAAGAAACGATTTCGAATCTCTAACCAAAATTTAAAAACTAAAACAAGTATTTTTTACTTTTTGATTTTTAATTTTTTATAAGAAATCAAGCTTCCATTGAGAAGATAGGAAGGAATAGACAAGGAACATAAAAAAAAAAAAAAAATGTCCTGACAAATAGAGATCCACCTACCTATGAGAATGGATTCTATTTTTATTACGGTGAAACAAAGAATATATAGGTTTAAATTTTCTTCCTAAGCTTAAGTTTTAAAAATACAAGACTAAAAATAAAATTGAAGCCAAGAAAATCACAGATCTAATTTTTAACGGCCTGAAATAATTTCCACAATCAATATAGGGAATTACCATCTAGGGAGTAGTCTAGTTGGCAAGGATTTGGGGTCTCTTGATCATACTAGTTTAGAGGTTTCAAGTTCAAACATTCTGATAAACTTAATACCAAAAGTCATTGATGTCTCCTGCGTCAGGATTTTGGGACGGACGCGGGCGCACCTGGATATAGGGGAGCAAAGTTCCAACTCCCAATTATGAAGAAAAAAGAAAAAGAGATATATGGGGATTAGTGATGGCAGCATTAACACGTGCCATCACATATATTCTGTAATTTTATGTTGGGTTTCCTAAGACCTGCTTTTTTACCTAAAAGATAAAAAAGAATAAAGAATAAGATAAAATAGAGAAAAAGAAACACCAAACAAAAGGTCACATTTGGAGGAAAGGAAGTAAAGTTATTCGCTCCTAATATGTTAAACCAGATAACGGATCAATGAGAGCAACTAAAGATGTGGTTCCAGTAATCAAAACTTACATCTATCAACCTTGCTGCAGTATCAGCACCAATGACAAAAGCACTACCAGGAAAAAGTTCGGCTTTCTTGTAAAAGTAAGGCTGGTTAGATATGATCACTGACTTTCCTGCCATGCAGATTAAAATTGAAAGATAAATATTCACTTTAATCAATGTCCTCCGGCTTTCAAAAAAAAAAAAAAAAAATAGAAGGAAAAAAAACAGGTCTAGTATAAGCTACACGAAATATTACAAAATAGGCAACATTCTAGAAACAAGACTCACCAACATTTTTAAATTTCTCAACACGATCTTTGATTTGTGATACTGATAGGGGTGGTTTATCAGCATTCACGGCTGATATTTCAAAGCAAGGATACCCATCATCACCACAAATGCTGCAAAAAAAAAAAAAAGTTTTAGATATGGAAGAAGGACTAGGGAGAGGAAAATATTGGGATTAGTCTTAGGAATGAACAAACCACCACTCAACCCAAAAGCTTAAGTTAATGGGTTGGGTAAATTTAATTAATTTATATAGATTCTAACACTCCCCCTCACTTGTGGGCTTGGAAAACAACATCAAGACCCAACAAGTGGAAATCATAATAAATAGGGAAGAAACGACTACGGAACATAGGACCTCCTGCTCTGATACCATCTTAGGGATGAATAAACCACCACTCAACCCAAAAGCTTAAGCTGATGGATTGTGTAAATTTAATTCATTTATATGGATTCTAACAATTAGATATAGAAAAGAGATAGTTCTTGAGAAAGACTATCAGCCGCATTATGTCATCCATATTCCCTTAATTCCCTACTTAAATTTCTGGTAAATTTCAAGTAGGTATGTTCACAGGGCAACGGAGGGACGGGGAAGTCTTCCCCTACCCTGTTCCCCAATTCCCCCCACAAAATTTTGCGGGGATCGGGGCATGGATTTACCATGGGAAATCACAGGGACTCGTAGAGAATCTTTTCACGTTTATTTATTTTTTAAAATTATTCTCAATTAAATATTTTTTCCTAAAGAAATTTCTAATTAATTGCTTAATTTCTAATGATTGAAATCTCATTTACATGATCTAATCCTCCTCTATATATATTAGGCGGATGGATAGAGAAGAATACGGTTTTTTAGTATACGTATGTATAGAGAGAATAATAGGATTATTTTAGTATGTGTGTGTAAATATATTAGGGGAAAAAAAGCAAGGCAAGGTGGGGAACGGGTTCCCCGTTTAAGTGGCGGGGAAAAAACTTCCCCATCCCCGCCCCGCGGCATCTAAACGGGGGTTTCCTACCACGTTTATGTAGGTCCCCATGGAGAAAATGGACCTCCCTAATTTCAAGTGGTTGATGGAAGGACTAGGGAGAGAAAAATATTGGGATCAGATAAGGAAGAGAGATAGTTCTTAAGAAAGACTGGGAAAAAGTCTAGTCCTCCCGTTGTATTGTACTCCCTTTTGTTTACACAATAAATGAAAGGAATGAACTCCACATCCTTTTTAATACTGACGTGGCAAGCAATGAATGAAAGGAGTATGGTACTCCCATGGGACTAGAAATTTTCTCGAAAGACTATCAGCCTTGTTATGTCATCCATGTTCTCTAAATTCTCTACTTCAATTTCTCGTAAATTTCGAGTGGTTGATGGAAGCTTCCGGCAGATGTTGGATATCAGTCAAGAGTGAGTCTAGATATAGAGACTAGAGAGTTATCGTAAACTGAAAAATATTAAACAACTCCACACATGTACCTTGTTGCAACCTCTAAGAGCTTGAGGTGACCATCATGTAATGGATTGAAGGAACCAGATAGAATTATTTTTCTTTCTGCATTTGATGCATATTCCTCTGCAAAAAATAATCGATATGAGCACTAGAAAACTTTAGTTGCCGCCATATATAACACCGATGCAAATCAATAGAAATTATACCACTTAAAAATGGATAAACCTTAAAGCAAACTTCCCCCCTTATAATTTGCTCTAATTCTTGATCCTCAGTGAATAGCGTTTCACATTCATCTAATAAATCAGATTGAGTCAAATCTGGAACGAAGGTTCCAGGAACTTTACAAGCGTTCGCAATTGCCTAAGACCAGAAAAAGTACAAAAGGCTGTCTAAGATGTTAATGATATAAACAAGAAAACAAACTAAACGTCAAATTTCAGAAAATTAAGCAGCATAAAAATTACATTTTCCACTTTGACATAAATATCGCATCCAAGAAACCTTTATGAGCAATTGGATGATGTATATCTGATGCAACATAGCATCAGTCAGGAATTTATTTAAATTTTGAAACTAGGGTGTACTACAAAAAATCCTACTACTGGCCGACAGAACGCTACTGACATTAATCATCAACTTATTCATGAGGTTTATCTCCTCCTACCTACTTCTATTCACTTCGAATCTTCAATTCTCTCATTATTTCCTATACTACCACTTTATTATCTAATGTTCTAGCTATATCTCCCAACTTGGTTTTACATCATCTTTACTCTCAGAAATCAATTTATGGCTAATTTATAGCAAAATGTTCTTATGAAGAATATACTTCAACTACAAATTACAATAGTAGAAGAGTATATAAGCTTTTAAGATGCCTGGACCTGGAGTTAATGATACGATACCAATTGCATTTTTTAACATACCTTAAGCAAAAGATGACCTGAGAGTATCTCCTCTTGCTGCCGCGTGCGTAAACCCTAAAATAATGAAGTAATAACTAATAAACGATCAGATGATCGACTTAAAGCCAAGGTTAGATGAATTTGTTTCTTTATTTACCCAGAAAATTACCTTCGATAGTGTGACTGTGGACACCCAGTGCCGGTTAGATGATCTTGTTGACATATGCATCCTAGACATAATAAAAGAGAGAAGAGGGCTAGTGAGTAAAAAGAAAACCTTAAGGTGACATGACCGTTATATAATAGTATATATTGGAACTAGGGGAAAATTTTCTAGGAGTAGGTATGCTATTAGGCATTACACTACATAAGAACGGAAATATGCTTCATTATCATCTATGCTTACTCAAGTCAATGCTGTCAAAATCCAATTGCCTATTTATGCTATAATTGGCTATTGTCAATTCTATAAAAACCCAAAATATGATCAAATTGCTGACATATTAATGGTCATTAATGAAGAAGTTTGTTGGTATGAGTTGGTTATAAATAGAGTGGGTGAGAGGGGATGAAGGTGCAATAGTTCCATTGTTTAGGCTTGACCATACTCAAAAAAGGACTCCAAGTTCCTTGAATTACTTGGATATTTTACCATATTTAATTTCATTCGATACTACAATTGATAGAAACTAGAGAATTGGAAAATAAATAGTAATGAATAGAAGAAAATAAAGTATAATGTCCAAGTAATTCGAGGAAGTTGGAGCCATCTCTCTTTTGAATACTCAAGCCTAAACAATTGAACTATCGCCTATCTCCATTCTGCCACCCATTCTGTTGATAATCAATTCATATGAACAAACTCCTTAGATAATACTATTATCCCCTTACTAACCTAGTAGTAGTGTCTCTAACTTCTACCTAATAGTATTTCTAACACCTTATGGAATGAAAGCATCTAATTCGATCTAAACTTTGACAACTTACCTATGATCACCAAATTTTGGATGAGTGGTCGCCAAAGAACCAGTAAAACCAACACCAAGAACGGGATAACCTGTTAATCAGATCATCAAATAAAGCAACTTTTCATTGAAACACAACAAAGAATTCTGTTAGACCAATATTTTTGGATTTCGTATTACACCCTTTTACTGTCACTCATTTAACAATATCAAAATCCAATAGAAGAAAAATACATAAATTCATCTCTCCAATCTCTGTGACTAATTTTCAATAATGATAATCCAGACTAACCATCATGGGTTGCCCATTGGTCCAAGGGGCTAGGGTTAATTAAGAGGGAATGGATTCATGGCCACCTATCTTGGGAATAATGATTCTTATGTATTTCCCGACACCAAATATTGTAGGGCCAGGCAGTTGCCCCGTGAAATTAGTCGAGGTGCGCGTAAGCTGGCCCAGACACTCACGGATATAAGAAGAAGAAAAAATGATAATCCATACTTCAAATTTCTGTTTGTTGATGCAATACATACTAGGTCCTAAAACACAATAAAAGAATTCAATTCAACATACTCTTTGTTAAAATTCATTTAACTCACTGCAACGTTTGCTCCTTTAACTCGTGCTCTAATTTTCATTTCAAAAATCAGGTCCATAACTTTTGATCTAGTTGCAAGTTGGAGTATCCTAGTATTCTTTGGTAATTACTCAGTTAAGATTGGGGCTGTCTGCTTCCTATAAAGCCAACCTCCTTTCTGTCTCTACCTTTTGACAGCAGTGAATATTGAAACAAAGTACAAAGATAAAAAAACGTTTCAGAGACATTGGAGGTCAACGTCCCGAGTATCTCTCAAGATAGTGGGTTTTTGGAAAAGGTAGAGTGCTCTAGAAAAAAGCATCAATATCTCTTTTCGCTATTTGGATTGGAAGGAAGAAAAGGACTTCAATAACAACTACAATGTTTTTTTTTTCTAAATTCTATTGACTTAGCACAGTACACAACCTCTACCGAGAGTGTTTTACACAAGTAACTTTGTAATTACACCATTTTCTTGATCAATGTATAATGGGGGAGTTTGTTATATAACTCTTTCGCTGTCAAGGGGATGCTGACCTATCCACCTAAGTTTCCCTTTTCTTATTGGAAAACGTCTCTCATTTAAAATGAAATGCTCAGAGATAAATAACAGGAACAAGTAATCAAGTTAGATTCCAAAATCACGGCAATCAAGGAAGTGTCAAGCAATTATACAGCAACTATGTCCCATGCCCAAATTGATTACTGCATAGTGTACAGATAATTGAGTTGCAATTTGATGTACCAAGTAAAACAAGTAAACACGTTATCATATGCGTATAAATCAAATAGCCTTTGAAAAATTCCATATGAAATTGGATCATTTTTTATTTTCATCCTGTTGAATTTAAATTCCATAGATATTATTTTATTATTTTTATTGTGCCAAAATGTTGTAGAGATAAATTTTACAACAGCAGTAATAGACCTGGACTAGATAGCTTCAGAGCACGATTATAAGCAAGCAAAGCCATTTCTTCCGTAGTTTTAAGGCTGCAAAATTGAGAGGGGACCTGCACCAAAGAAATAAAAGTATCAGCAACGATAGTAGCTATATTTGGTACTCTTCAGTGGGATTCTTCCATTAAGATTTTGACAAATAGCTTGCTTCGGAGCACGATTATATGCCAGCAAAGCCATTTCTTCCATAGTTTCAACTTATAAAGACTGTAGGAAGGGTTTGGTTCATTTTATAGATATATGTGTGACTTACATTTTGGATAGAGGTTTTAGTTCATAGTGGAATTGTTAATCCCTTTATCTAGAGCTTCTCAATCCTTTTTTTCCTATTGAAAACATGTTAAGTACAATATCATTCCCTGATGGCTGCAGGTTAAGGTCTATAGAACTATCAACGATCTCTAGCATGCATTAATTCTTCAAATTCCAGACTCTAGTTCTAGTTGTTTCTACAAATTGATCTTCTACATCAACTTTCTTTTCTTAAACAAACATGTGATAAATTCCTCGGTTCCTTATAATCATCAAAACTGAAACGGAAACTACCAACCTAACTATATGCCCCAGGACCACTCTTTTATTGGACACTTCGTTTACAAAAATCAAATTCCACCGCTGTCCAGAAAGGTGTCGAGCAAGGAATCATCCTAAAATTTCAGGAAGAGTAAAAATTCATAATCTTCTTTAGGAGTCAATTTCATACAGTTTATCTGCCGCTAGAGCAAGAATTAGCTGAATTGCAATCAACTACTGCATAAGACCGCCGCTAAAGCCGATTTCAGTCACCAGGTCTTCATGTTCATCTTAAATGAAATTACGCATTTATCATAAAAACAAGAAAACCGAAGCGTGAATAAAGAATTCTGAAGGGCAGTGTAACCTTGCCGAGTAACTGGATCATGGAATGCCTGGAGTAAGGTACGACGGCCTCTAGGACTGTGCCGGAAGCTCCAGGAACTGAAAGTAACCATCCTATGGCCTAAATTTAGAGACGTCAAAATCCGAAAGCAGGTAAGAAGAGGGTGAAGAAGAGAAATGGATGCAGAAATGCGCGAAATAGAGAGAAGTTCTAGGGAGACCTGAGAAGCGCCGCCGGAAAGGTAGAGAACGGCCTGAGTCGGATTGGAGTGGACGGCGTCGACGGCGGCTCTGACCCACGTATCTGCCATTGCTTCTCCCTCTACCACTGGCCACTCTTCTCCAGCATCTTCCCCTGAAAACGACGCCAGCTGAAATTGAAAATCACCAGTAATTTTTTTTCTTAATTGTTATTTTTGAAATTACAAGTTGATTTTTATGGAAANAAAAAAAAAAAAAAGGTTTTACCCAATGTTCCATGGATGTCGATGCCTTCGTTTTATCGTCATGAAAATTAAAAAGTAGCAAAAATATTTAAATCGATAAATAAACATTTCTTTATTCCTATTCTAAATAAGTTTAAAATAATTAATATTAATATTATGTATATATTTTAATTGCTATTTTGTCGATTTATTTTTTTATAGCATAGAAATGTTGATTTACCCCTGAATGTCAAATCTATTGAAACATGAAAATGTTGATATACATCAAAATATTAGTTCTACTCTGAAAACTTATCACTTTTTACCTCAAATTTTCCATTCTAAAGCTAAATAATTATTTGATTTTTTTAATAGAGTTGCATTTATGATTGGGTTTTTGGTGGGCTTTGAAGAATTGTTAAAATAAAATAGAAAATCAAGTTGGGCCGTCAAACCCAATTGGTCCGTCACGCCCACTCGATTTGTCAAACCCACTTGGCCCATCAACCCCACGCATAAAGTGATATATAAGTAAAAGTATAAAAATTTGAGTTTGAAAAAAGTGGTCACAAATCTTGTAGGCATGGGTATCCATGCTATTGCTAATTTCCCAATTAGTAATAGTTTTAATTTTTAATTATTTCAATTTAAAACGCATCTTTAGAGGACGAAAGCCTCTGGAACGAAGGATCAGAAGACGTTTTATACTTCCGCCGGAATCGTCGTTGAAAAAAGTCTGCTTCATCGTGGAAATTCTAGTACATGGGAATTGGAAATTTTCTTGCTGGGTTTGATTCTCCCGAAATTTTCTTGGGCCGGATGGTGTTCAAATTCCCGAAATGCAGTCTAGACAGTGGGCCCTCCCCTTTCTGACTGGACTGACTCTCAGGGTCAATCTCCTCCGAAGCATGCTGCACAGCCACTCATTCGTCTGGATCCATGGGTCAAGTGAGAATTGATTCGTTTAAGTTTCTGAAGCAAGTTCGCATAGTTTTAGGTTTTAGCACCTTCGTTGTAGAAGTACCTCTTTCCGACGAATGATTTTGGGTTTGGGAGAAGTGGTGCAAATTGTCCGATAAGATTTTGAAGACGACAAATCTAACCTCCGCATCAATTTTTTTTGTTAGTCAACTAATGATCAATCGAGTGGAGTGACCATTTAAAACTATTTCTTAAATCTCGACAAAAAAATGTTACTTTTCAAAATTTAAGGACTAAATTGACACCTATCCTAAACTCCTCGAAAACTCCTCGAGAATCAAAAGTGTACTTATTATTAAATTTTATGTTAACTAAAATATTTTACAAAATAATTAATGGTTAAAATTTAGAAATTAACATAGAATTAAAAGAGGTAGGAAAATTGCAAAAAAAAAAAAAGACACCTCATTAATTATAAAAATATTACAAATACATCATTAAATTTTCAATTTTTGTCAATTACCCTATAAATTTATGGAATTGCAGGAATTTAATCTTATGTTTATAATTTTTTTTGGTACGATAAAGGTGTGATGAGAAATTGAACCTTCAATTTTAGAAAAAGAACAAGATACTAGTATAAGTTCAGATTGACTAATATTATTAATATTTGACTTTTATTCTCTTTTTTTAGCTTATATTGTAAGGGGTGTTCTTTTTCTAAGACACTATCGTAGCAACAAAATCCTAAAAGAAATCTAGCCAACTATTAAAAGTATGAGATAAGTAGTATAACAATCCCTAGTTTTGGATATTATACTTATTATATATGGAAATTATTTTGCATAAAAAAAATAACTTTTTGGTTTAGTTAATCAACAATTACGATAATAAAGTTCATACTATCAACTTTTGAGATGGTAATAATTGGTGCTTTATCCCACTGAACATAGATAATTGAATGTAGATCTCTTCTCAAAATCATACACTCTAATTGTGACGACGAACATGCTTCATTCTAACTATTTTGATTTGAATTATATAATATACTATAACAATAGGTTCATCTATCTTTGTCAACTCACGACTTTGAAAAGTATAATTACTCAAAGAGTCAAATAAAAAGTTTGAAAATACTAGTTTTTTTTGTTATGGTTTGGTAATTACGTGTAGTTTTCTCAAATAAAGTAAATAGAAAGCTAAATATGTTTTATTATCTTCTCATATTTGAGTTTTTTTTAATTAAATTTCTATTGTTTGAAAATTTTCAATTAAAATTTTTATATTATAATATTTATCAATTTAAGTATGGATAAATGTTAAAATTTATTAATGACATGATAAAATTTTCTAATCCATCGAAATTTTAAGAAATTAATAGAAAGTTCTATTTTTATTCTCTTTACAATACCTTTTCCTCTTCTAAATTAGAAAATGTTTCTTTAATACAATATATTGGAGAGAGGATTCGAACTCACAACCTCATGGTTGGAAGTATATGAATTACAAAAGGTTGAAACATAAAAAAAAAAAAATTGAATAATATGAACTCAATTAAAAAATTTAAACAATAAAAATTAAATTGAAAAAAAAACGAATAAATATAGTTGAGGGCATTTGGACAGTAAACCCGTGGACTTCAAGATTCGTCGTTCGAGGCAAAGAAAGCTCCGATTACTTTCTCTATTTTACAAATTCATCCTTACAAAATTCTATAATTCCTATTTAATCCCTTCAAAATTTGCTGATTCACCCCTCCACCAGCGCGCCCGTAAAGTTTATCAGGTGGGGTTCTTCACGTGTCAATTTATCGCATTTTCCCTTCGATTTATAATATCACGATATAAAAAAAAAAAAAAGATCGTTATTTGTTGTTCTTTTATTTTAAAAAATTCATAATTGTTATAAACAAAAACTACGTAAAAGGAAATGCTTGAAAAATTATTATAAACTCATTTATCTAAATTAAGAAAAAACCATTGAAAAAAACTCAATGCAGTAAAATTTATGTGAGAACAGAAAATTTCCTTTAATTTTACTTCTAACTCATATCATATTATATTGTTGTACAATTTGTTGGCCGACGACTAGAATTTCTCAATCTCGTCTCTTATCTAAATTGGGAACTAGTTTCCAAGATCCATCTATTTTGCGACTCATTTCATCCTTTTTGGATCGACCTATCATAGACAATAAGGGATCCAATTTGACACCAAAAATGGGAATCCCGAGAATGCACACCCATCTTATAGAATTTCTTTCGTCACAGCTTTGAAAGAGGGTTTACAACCAACTTTCCATTTACACATTCGTTATTGTCATGACGTTTTTGTTCCTATTTCGGTAAGCAAAAAGAGTTTTCAGCACAAGGATTTTCAGATCTTTTGAGCAAGGTAGGTCTCTATCTTTCACTCATGTGTATAGTACCCGGAGGATCACCAGTTGATTGTAGCAGAGGTATCATACATTTATAATAGAATTACTTTTGTTACTTATAATTTTATTGAAGTAATGGTATAGTCTCTAAAGTTTAGTTTGTAATGATTTAACCCATATTCTTTAGATTTATAACAATTTAGTCCATAAACTTTAGTATATAGCAACTTAGTCCTTGTAGCTTAAAAATTTGTAATGATCGAATGCTTATTGTGAAAAATATGGTTAAAATCTAATGAAGTTTTTTTTTATATATGTAGATCAATTAAATGATAAGAGATCAAATGCATGTGTTTATAAACTACAAAGACTAAGTTCTTATATAATAAAAATCGACAATTAATTTTGATGAATCTTTTCATAGTAGGGACTAAATTGCTATAATTTTTAAATTACAATAAATAAATTGTTACATATTAAAGTTCAGATAATAAATTGTTATAAATTTTAAATTACAGTGATTAAATTGTAACATATTAAAGTTGAGGACTAAGTTGTCACTAATTTGAAAGTACAATAACTAAAACTTAACAAGCTAAAGTGTAGAGACCGAATCATTACTCCAATAAAAATATAGAAACCAAAAGTGTTAAAAAGTTTTTGTCATCTTTTCCTTTGAAATAAGAAATATGAATTCATTTCTTCAAGAAATTGAGATGCCACGGGAGCTACAAATCTAGGTTAAAAGTTCATACCTACCCTAATATTTCTTAAGCTCAAAAAAAGAAAAAGTTAGTTGAAATATACTTCTCTTCTAAAGGTTAGTTCTAACCAAAGATTATATATTAAGAAAGATTTTATGATATTTTGATTAGTTTATGTTAAGGATTCCACGTTGAAAAAAGATAGGACCTAACAATGGTTTATAATAGACATGAGTTACTCCTTTCATTGTCAATTGATTTTGAGATGGAACCCCATAAATATTAATATGATATCAAAGTTCAACAAGCTCAAACCAACATGTTAAAGAATCCCACAGACAGAAAAGAAATTATGATTATAGTTCAAAGAAAAAAAGAATCAATAATTATGATTATAAGCAACAGAGGTTGATAATGTAACCTATTAATTGTTAATCAAATTTCTTCCCCATGAATTTTGGGACCATCTGTTTGTTTCTCGAGAAAAACTTTCTTCTTGGAGTTTGAAAAATTACAAATTAAAATACTTTGACAAGTTTTTAATTTCCGGTAAAGATTTGAATTTTTTATTTTTTGGTCGAAACTATGCTATTTTTACCTTCTCGATCAATTTTGCTTTCAATTTATTTTTAGTCATTGTAATTGAATTCTTGAAATATATTTAATTTAAATATTATGTAAAATACAACACAATTAATTTGTATTTTAAGCTGCATATATATTGGATCGGATATTTTGGACGTGGGACACAGAGAAGTGATGAGCACTATAATCACACAGATTTCTCCATCGACTTCAGTTACACAAAACACTCTTTCAAAACAAATACACCTAAGACCATGAGCTATATTAGTTGGAACACACCTCGTACCTTTCTAATGTGGGACAACTTCTTACTTCATCCTTACTTTTTCAATGTGGGACAACTCTCGTTTCAATATTTTGCCAAAATCCAATACTAAGTGTCCTTTTTTCAGGGGAGCCAGTCCATGTGGTGGAGGGCCCGACGAACAAAGTATAGTGTGCTTATGTTGGAAGTGACCAAACGGGTGAATAAATCACCAACTAAATGGGACACTTGGTAACTAGGGGTGTCTCTTCATCTTCATAGTTGGGATGCTTCGAGGTTCTGGACCTTGGAAACTGCAATAGAATCTCGTAACTCGAGTGTAGGGTGAATCTGCTTCTACTTCCAGACAACTGACTTGATTCTTGTGACCCTCGCACAAATCTTAGTTTGTTTTTTACCTATAACTAGTGGCGTATGAGAGGGGAGCCTAAATACCATGCACCCATACTGGTGCAAAAACATACCACTTAAAAGAAAATTGTCTGATATTTTCCAAATTCAACGATGATCTGAGAGATTTGACGAAATTGTTAAATGCACGTGAGAATATATTCTTTTTTCAATAATTCTTCAAATGAAAGTCTAATAAAAATTAAAAATTGTAACTCTTATTCACAAGTTTAAAAGTAAATATTACAACACTAATCCAAATTTAAAGTCTAATTAAAAGAAATTGAAAGTTTATGATAAAAAAATTTAAAGTCTAATTAAAAGAAATTGAAAGTTTATGATAAAAATTGATATATACGAGTAAAAAATTCGTTTTAAAAAACAAATTAAATTATAGGTATTTTTATTTTATGATATGATTTCGTTTAAAGAGCTGTAAATAAAAAAAAAAAAAGAAAAAAAAAACTCTTGTGCATCTAATGAGTTACAAAATGAGACTTCAAAATATGATAAAGAAGTTGGATTTTAATTGGAATTTTTTAGTTTATGAGATTTATTTAATGGTCAATATTATAGATTGATAATGCTTAATTTATTTTGTGCGAAGACTTGACTTTTATATTGAAATTTGAGAGTTTTGATAGATTTTTTACCTTGTTTTTTTTTTAATATACACCATGGACGTAGGTAGCGAATTTTAACTCAATGTAATAATTGTAACATTTGTATAAGTCTAAGGTTCAATGTAATGAAATTAAGTGTTTAGGATGAAAATTGTTACATGTTCTCAAATTTATAGGTAAGAGTTAACTTTTTTTCTCCCATACGGACAAAATTATCCAATGATGGTTAATTGATAGGTTAAATTTGAAGTTTAGTTTTAAAACTTTTCATTAGATCTATAAACTTAAAAAAGTGTTAATGCCCTTAAACTTTAAAATCTATCTAGTATATTTTTCAGCTTTCAATTTTTTGTTTAATAGATTTTTTTTATATATTTTTTTTTAACTTAATGAATTGAAAGGTGTGAAACCTACTTAGAAACTGACTTTTAAAAAAGTTTAATATATCAATGACTAATTAGACACCAAATTAAAATCTAATGGCTTACTAAACATTAATTTCAATTACTATTTGACATAATATTGATAGTTTAAAGTCCTACTAATACTTTTTGGAGTTCAATGACATATTAAACAACTACTTGATCCTTTTCACTTTTCAGAGTTTATCGAATTATTTGACACAATATTGGAACGGTAAGGATTTACTAGACACTTTTTACCATTTATGAAACTATTAGATACAATCTTAAAAGTTCGAGACTAAATTTATAATTTAACGCATATTTTATTAAAGATTTAGATACTATTTCAGTCAATGTGCTATTGTCTTTGATTCATTTTGATTTGTGTGCTTTCAATTTTTGTTTATTTTAATCATTGTATTTTCAAAACGTCCGTTTGTAGTTTCTATACTTTTAAAATATTACAAATTAGGTTCATATCATACGAAAATGAATATTTTAAGCACAAACACCGATAAAACCAAAATGTGTTGGGGTTGTAAGGCGTGCAACCAAAGTCCTTTGTTAGTTAGAGAAGAAAGTGATCCATAATATATAAAGAAGGACAATTATCTTCATTGGTAGAGATACTTGAATACGAGAGATACCGTTGTCCTCATTTGAATACGAGAGATACCGTTGTCCTCGAAGAAATGAAAATTTCATACTATTATTTAAACATTTATTTGATACGTTTGATGTTAGGAAAAATTTCATTTTAGTTCTAAAAAGTCTCGAGTCGCTTCTCCTGACACCACCGCTCATTCTTTATCTTTCTTCTCAACGGCTGCTTGGCGAACGCTTTGCTGCAAAATGTCGCGATAAATAAAACCCATCAATTGCATGGCGAAGTGAGCCAATTCCATAAGAGTAGACTTAGAGGCACAGGCTACACACACCCCTTCTCTGTTACTTTATAACAATTCTCTTTTTCCCTTCTTTTTCTTCTTCCTCCTCTCCATCCTCAGCCTTCAATTCAACACTCTTTTTCCAAATCACTGTCAAACCCTCCTCCATTGTCTTTCCCGAAGCTTCATTCTCTGTTAGAATAAAGGAAAAAGTAAGTGATTGCGTTTTCGTTCTTGGAAATGCTTGTGGGTCCGTTTCTGACTCTTCTGTGCAGCTATGGTTTTCTTCTTCTTCTTCTTCTTCTTCTTCCAGTCAGTTCTTTGAATGATGAAGGGTTTGTGCTTCTGTCCTTAAAACACTCCATTTTGCAGGACCCAGAAGGGGTTTTTGCCAATTGGGATTCTTCTCATGAAACCCCCTGTTCTTGGAATGGAGTTGGCTGCCAAGAGGAAGCGGTTGTTTCTCTTACCATTCCCAAGAAGAATTTGTACGGTTCTCTTCCCTCTTCTCTTGGGGCTCTTTCTGGGCTTCGCCATCTGAATTTGAGGAACAATAGGCTTTATGGGAACTTGCCCTTTCAGCTCTTCTCGGCTCAAGGGCTTCAGAGTTTGGTTCTTTATGGGAATTCCTTTTCTGGGTCTGTTCCAAATGGGATTGGGAAGCTTAAGTACCTTCAAACTCTGGATTTGTCTCAAAATTTCTTCAATGGGTCATTACCCACTTCCATTATTCAATGCAAGAGACTTAGAACCCTTGATATTAGGCAGAATAACTTCTCTGGTTCACTGCCTCATGGGTTTGGAACCAGTTTGAGTTCTTTGGAGAAACTGGATCTTTCGTTTAATAAGTTTAGTGGTTCTCTTTCTAGTGATTTGGGGAATTTGTCTAGCTTACAGGGCACTTTTGACTTGTCTTATAATCTATTTTCTGGTCTAATTCCAGCTAGCCTTGGAAATCTACCTGAAAAGGTTTATATTGATCTTAGCCATAACAATTTAAGTGGTCCAATACCCCAAACTGGTGCTCTGATGAACAGAGGACCCACTGCTTTTGTTGGGAATCCTGGGCTCTGTGGTTCCCCTTTGAAGAACTCATGTTCTTCAGAAGAAACTCTTAGTGCTAGCTCACCGTCCTTGCTTCCGTTTCTCCCGGACGATAATTTGCCCGGGATTTCTGGTGAAAGTGCTAAGAAATCCAGGGGATTGAGTAAGAGTTCTGTTATTGCTATAGTACTTGGTGATGTGGTTGGCATATGCCTAGTTGGGTTATTGTTCTCATATTGCTATTCTAAAGTGTGTAATTCAAGAAAGAGCAAAGATGAGAGCGGGCATGGTTCCGATAAGGGGAAGGGGAGGAACGGCTGCTTATGCTTTAGTAGGAAGGATGAATCTGAGACGGTTTCACAAAATGTGGAGCAGTATGATCTTGTGGCTTTGGATGGGCAGGTAGCATTTGATCTTGATGAACTTCTCAAGGCCACAGCCTTTGTTCTTGGCAAGAGTGGGATTGGGATAGTGTACAAAGTGGTGCTCGAAGACGCGGTTACGTTGGCCGTTCGACGATTGGGCGAAGGCGGTTCTCAGAGGTTCAAGGAGTTTCAAACCGAAGTAGAAGCTATAGCAAAGCTAAGGCACCCAAATCTTGTCACTCTTAGAGCCTATTACTGGTCTGTTGATGAGAAGCTCCTCATTTATGATTTCATACCCAATGGAAACCTTGCCCTTGCCATTCATGGTAAAAGATTAGAACTGAACTTTTCATTTGGGAGTTATGATCTCTTTTCCTAGTTAGTTCTTTGCCTTATTTATACTCATGTGTGTTTCCTTGTTTACGATTATATCAACAGGAAAGCCAGGAACGGTAGCTTTCACGCCGTTATCATGGTCCACTCGGTTAAAGATCATTGAAGGAGTTGCCAAAGGGATGGTCTATCTCCATGAATTTAGCCCCAAGAAGTATGTTCATGGAGATTTGAAACCCAACAACATACTACTCAGCCAGAAGATGGAAGCCACAATTTCTGACTTCGGCCTTGCTCGACTGGCGAATATCGCAGGAGGAACCCCAACCTCACGATCAGGTCGAATGGCATCCGAGAAACCGAAGACCGCCGACACCATTTGCAGTTCATCATCCAACACAGGAACAGGAACTTGTTATCAAGCCCCTGAATCACTCAAAGCCTTGATGAAACCATCCCAAAAATGGGATGTCTACTCATATGGTGTGATCTTACTAGAAATGATCACAGGAAGATTCCCAATAATCCAAATGGGATCTTCCTCTGAAATGGATCTTGTCCATTGGATTCAACTCTGCATTGAACAACAGAAGCCTCTTTCAGAAGTCATAGATCCATACTTAGTTCAAGATGTTGCATATGAAGAAGAAGAGGTGATATCTGTACTAAAAATTGCTATGGCTTGTGTCCATGGAAGCCCTGAAAGGAGACCTCCAATGAGACACATCTCCGACGCCCTCGAAAGGGTATCGTCGTTGGCGTCGAGGAACTAAAAGAAGTGGGGAAGTTTGAGTATTTGATTAAGATAAGATGAGATAAAGAAGGGTAATTAGTGAGAGTTTATTTTGATGTGTGTGAGATTCTTCATTCTTGTGTTTGTTAGCTGTCATTTTGAATAGAGTTTAGGGAAAGGAGAAGAGTGTGGTCTGCCCCAAGAGCATGCTAATTCTGATTTATAGGGTTTAATTATCTTATTAATAATGTTTAGATTATGGTGGGAAGTTGTCTTCTTCTTCTTGCTCTTTTTGCAGACCTCTGCCATTCCTTTTCTTTTTGGTTTTTCATTTTATCAATACAATTATCCAATAAAGTATTTTCCCTATTATTTGCTTCATCTTACTTTATTGTTATGCTATATTTTTTTAAATAAGAATCACTAAGTAATGGAAATAATAATACAAGGATTGGCTGAGTGAACTTATTATTTTCTCTATTGATTTTATAATATTTTAGGGATGATCATGTGATAATATATATATATATTTTTAATTGTATATGCTTCTTGCTTATGCATAACATCAGATTAATAAATTATTACTACATTAGTCTGAATAGCTATATATTTTACTATTGGGGTTGAAGAATTCAAACCTTAGATGAATATTTTGAAATAACTAAACTTTACCATTGAAGATTACTGAGAGAAGAAATATTTCCTTGTTATGAGTTTTTGTTAAGGCAAGCATGTTGAACAATGGTACGGGATCGAATGATTGAAACCCTAAATTAATACTTCAAATCAACTAAACTTTACTATTGAAATGATCATTGGTAAATATCATATAATTGCTCTATTAACAGAAAATAAATAATCTTTCCTCGTTGTAGATTTTATGAACGCAAGCATGTTTGGCCAATGTTACGAAAAAGAGGTCGAATATCAATACTATTGAACCATCATTGGTATTTGGTAGATATCATCTAGCTTCTTTCTAGAAGAAATACTCTTTCCACATGAAATCCTTCCTTCAACGAATTTTGTGGATATAAATAAATAAAGTTAAACTATTTTAAAGTTGTGTATAATAATTCTATAAACTTTACAGCATTGAATCAATCCATAAACTTTCAATCTTAGGAGGCCCATTAGACATTTGGATCAAAATAAATGACCTTATACAGGTTTATAATAGATATGGACTACTCATTTAATTGTCAATTGATTTTGAGATGAAACCCCTGATATGGTATCAGAGTCTAAAAGCTCAAACGAGCATCCAGTCAAAAAGTGGGATCCAACCAAGATCGATGAGCCAAAATGGTTTGTTACCATCTTCGAAGTCAAACCGAAGAAAAAAGAGTATAAAAAATACAAAAATGAAAGTTATGAGTTTGGACAGAGCAAAGGTTATGAAAAAGGGATGGATGTGTTAGTTTTGTATTATATGTTGGAATTGGAATGGACATTATGGTTAAATTAATACATGAAATGACACTTCTTTTGAGATGCCAACCAAACCTCACACTCACAGCTCAACTTTGTCCATTTTCTCACTCCGAAACAAAATATTTTTCTGTTCTCTTCTGTCTCAGCTTTATTCTCTCCATCCTAATTCCTAATACAATATTATTTGTCCAGTTTAGGACTGTTCAATTTTCTCTTTTTCTTTCCCCTAACTGTTTATTTGTCAAATTTGGAAAATAGTTTGAAATTTGCTATCCTGTTTTCCCATCTGCCGCGATTTGAGGGAATTTTTCTTAGAAGAAAATGTCTCACAATTCAAAATTTTGCTTTTGTTTTGGTATTCCTATTTGTTGTCTTTTGGCGCCTCAGGTTTCTAAGTCAGGTGATACACATACAGAGTACCAATTGTGTTCTATTATTATTATTATTTTGATGAAATCTTCTTTTCACAATAAAAAAATAATGATATACAAAAAGATTGAAAACATTTTTTTTAATAGGATTGAAAACAATTTAAGTGGTTTGAGTAGGTAAACATATAAAAATAAAAATTGGACTAAAGTTGTCAAAATAATAAAATAGTGACCCTTCATTTGTCTGAAATAAATGAAATCGTCTAAACTATTTTTCAAAACTATTTCTCAAATCACCCTACCATATATCCGCACAAAACCCTCAATAATCAATAATGTAGTATCTTTTTTAATACAACATGTATGGAAGAAATCCGAACTCATGACCTTCCTATCGAAGGTAAGTACCTTAACCTACTGAACTATGTTCTAACTATGTTCAAGTTGACCAACGATGTAGTATCAAATCTACTATTTTCTCTACCTAATTGAGATTATTCTGTGGGGTAAAGTTTAAAACTTTGAAAACAACTTTTCTTCCGATGGAAAAAAGAAAATCAGATTTATTATTTACTTTTCAATTATATTTTTACATATTCAACTTTTTCAAATAAGTAGCAATTGGAAATTTTAATTTTTATCTTCAATCTACTTTGATGAGAAGGAATCTTTGTCACACATGATTATATTCCCTTTAGTAAAAGTGTCTGGCAATTGAAAAGGTTAGTTTTACCTTAATTAATTTTTGACAAACAAAATCTAAAACATTATAAATAGAGCATTTGAACCTATAACATATGGAAATTACAAGCATAAAAGAAGAATATTTCAGTCTTCTATCACAAGTTATCTTAAGTTCTTATTTGTTCACTGTAAACACAAAAGTTAGACATTTGCACCCAACTTCTTTTAAGTTTTAACCAAAGAATAATATATATACACTCCATATCGACCGCTCCGTAGGGGCATCTTCCAACTAACCACCGTTAAAAAGTTACAACTATTTGTTTATTTTGAAAAAAAGAAAAAATTTCTCCTCTCACCTCTTAATGCATTCCTCAAAAACATTTTGATGGTCTATAGAACATACCTACTAATTAGTCGGTACACGATTGTATAAGAAACCACAGGCAAGAGTAAAATACCTGTGTCTTCACTAGGAACATGATCCACCAAAAATATCAGAATCATAATCCCTGCACATTAGATTAGTCAGAAGCTGAGTTTTACTTTTGGTAAAAGAAACGATCAGGATTCAGGACCAGAATATATTACAAAGAATACAACAATACTTCACAAAAAAAAGAGCAAGAACCTTTCTCTCTTTTCCATCATGAATGATATGTTACTAATTTACCAATAATCTCCTTTGACCATTGGACCTGCTCCGTCGTTGAAAGAATCAGAGTAGAAATTTATAGGTTCTTGTGAGTGTAAAAGCTGAACAGAGATCTACAAGTTCTTCAAGCAATAAATGATATGATGTCTTCAAGTTTAAATATCTATGTATATGATACAATGAACATTCATGCTTCATTCTCTACGTTTTCTTTTGTGTGATCCGGAAACTGGTACATTAATTATCTTGACCTTTTCCTGATTCATCTTCGGTAAATAGAATAAGAGAACCTGGATTCAGCAGGGGTTTAAAGTCGAGCTCCTCAAAAGTCTTCGAAACCCTCTCTGCACAGAATCTCAATCCACCACCAAATTTAATGCAGAATCAACAACAGTTATTGTGATGAGGAAATTTTATCTGCAAGCATGCACGAACAGTAACTGAAAACGACTCAAACCCAGGATAAGTATTAAGGATGAGGTGAATTTGAACAAATCACGCATAAAGAAATTTTGTTGATCGGTTGATAATCAAATTGCATCGTGCTTGCTAATAAATTCGATAATGCATGGGTACACCTGCTCCGCCGCCTGCATATTTTAGAGGGAAGTGAATAAAGGCAATATCAACTTGAAATATAAAACAAAAGATTGAAAAAGAATTTCGTGAAATATAACTCAAATCAAATCCACCATGAAGTCCATGTCAATGAATAAATGGAAGGGAAAGAGAAGCCTACCAATCGTCCTCCAACTAAATCGTAATGGGCATAATGTGGACCTCCTGCTTCTCCGAAAACTTTATAAGTTACCAGGTGCTCAGGAATAAGCTTTGCCGTTGCTGATTCATTTAAATTACCATAAGCAAGAAGAGAAAGTTAGTATAATTATGAAGAAAAGAAAATTATATTCCACGCCAGAGTAATGAATGTACCTTCTACAGCTTCAGGTGGACAGATTAGATCTTGGTCTCCAGCAAGCGCTAAGACTGGGACATGGCATTTATGAATATGGTCATTGTAAAAAAAGGTATTACTTCTGTCTCGTAAACCACCCTCTCGAAAAGCAGTAGTAAGTTGTAAGATAAGTTTAGCGGGAATGGTACCTGCATTTATAGTTGAACTTGAGCTATGTGACAATTGACATAGTAATTATAGTATGAGCACGAGGAAAAAGAAAAGTAAAAGGGGAGGATGGAGTCATTGTCTGGACCTAATTCACTTGTTTGCTCACATGTGAATTTCCAATAACTGACAGTAGATAAGAGATATATCTCTATGTTGAAAATTTGACATTTTCCCAACATTTTCTTAACATTACTTGAACTTGCAGTGAGGATCGAGAAAGTTCCTGGCACCAAACAGATTTTTTTTCTAAAAAAATATTCGTGAGCGTCCAGGCCATACATTTAAAAGGCCATGGAACTGTTGTGGTTAATTGCAAAAATATTCTCTTGTAAAATTGACATCCGATATCTTAAAGCATGTTCATGTTAAGTATCAGAAAGACTCTTAGAACAACTATAGATGCTACCATTCCAGCCTCTTTGTAATTAACAAGTCATTTCCATTTACATGTTAATGTTAACTCAAGAATAGAACTTATTCATGATGAACTAAAGGATTATTTCACAAAAAGAATCTTATAAATGATCCAAAAATTATATCACCAAAATTACCTCTGGCAAGCTCACTCTTATCCAAATCTCCTAAGACCTTGAACAGTGGATGGCCATTTTACTTGGCTCCATGAAATTCCGGGAAATTTTCTTGTAAATATTGTTAAAGGAACCTTCTCGCCCGGCAGTTAGGCTATCACCCCTTCAAAATTATGCCAAGTTGTTTGGAAATCTAAGAGTCTTAAAGGAGGTTAAGGTCTTTGAATGGAAGTATTAAGGATCTTACGGGTTAATGAAATTATGAAATCTAGGATATTAACTTTGCAGGATGGTATTAAAGTAAAAAGTACAATTCCTGGTTATCTTAATTATCAAATTTCTATGATTCTCACTTTATTGTTGTAAATTTAAAATTATCATTTTCTTAGTTCAACCATTGCAGAGTAGGAAATTAAACCATCGACCTTAGAGATTATTTTTACTATTGAAATTTAAGAACTTTTATGTATAAAAATATCTCTGTTTCATCCGGGAAAGCCTACCAGAAAGAGAGAAAGATGTTTCTCCAATAAAACTAACCATCAAATCCTACTAAACCCAATTCTTCTTGCTCCCTTTCTCCAAGTCAGTGCCGCCTGTGAAAAACTAACAGCATAAATGCGAATAATTTATTCTTGCAGCGTCTAGTCTCTCAACAGTAAGGCCAAAATTCTGTGAACTAATGCAGCCAAACTATTCTGGACTACTAGAGTGTTTTGTTATCTACCTTAACCTTGTTTCTAGCTTTTTTGTAATGTTATTTACGTTGTTAACGAAATACTGCTACTTATTCAAAACACAAGAAAAATGTATCTCACATATTTATTATCCTGAAATGAAGTCTCACTAATTGGTAGAAAGGGGGCCAATTAACCCTTATCGTCTACCCTCACAAACCTTCCTATCTACAATATGTCACTTTTCCACATGCCATCTAGAGTTGTGAATCAATGAGAGGCTCTTCAAAAATTTTCTTTAGGAAGGAGCTAAAAATAAAGGAGGCAGGCATCTTGTTGGCAAGGCTCAGCTTCCTTCTGATTGCACCAGGCTCAGTATAGGCCAACATCAAGAAAAGCATTGGAGATTTTATGCTGGAAAAACGGCTCAAAGAGGAAATGGAAATTTTTGGGACTTCCCCTTTTGCTTTTTGGGCTGGTTCGTCTTCTACCTCATCTTCAAAGCGTCCATGGTCATGTCAAAGAGGATAAAAATGATTGTTTTTTTTTTTATGAGAAACTGCACTTTCATTGAAATAAATGAATAAAGACTACAAAAAGAGGGCATACAAAAAAACAGCCCAGCAAAAGGAAACCCCTAAAGAAACGGACTCCAATCCAAAAGAATGACTCCTAACTGATAATTACAAAAAGCCTTAGTGACCGATCCCCATAGAGAAGTGTTAAATCTAATAAGATCCCACACATAATCCACAGATCTCTCCACTCCCCTAAAAATTTTATTGTTTCTCCCCTGCCAAATACCCCATAGAGTAGCCAGAAAACACGCTTGCCAAAGAAAACGTCCTTTGTCTCGAAATGGAGGGAATAACAATACTTCCTCCATCATCGTCCTACAATCTCTGGAACGGGCCCAAACAATCCCAAAACATCTAAAGAAACGAAGCCATAACTCCTGCACGAACTGACAAGACCACAACAAATGATCAAGATCCTCCCGAGACTAATTTCTTGCATGACTTATGCATTAAAGCTCCACTATCAGTCTTTCCCTGAGGTGTATGCTGTGGTCAATATTAAAAATATTTCGGTGAGAGATTCTTGGATCTCCAGCTCCTCTACATGAAATTGGGCTACATAAGGCCTCTACATGAAATTTGGGCCTTAGAAGGAATCTAGATGATGAAGAACCCCAGCAATGGATCTCTCCTACCTCTATACTTCCATTTCATCATTTCCTTTTAATGCTCGATCTGACAGGTGGCTCCAGCTAGCTGATAATTCGAGGTCCTCTTGCGGCTACCTCTTTTTTGATTTGGTGGACAAAGGTAGGACCAGCAACCTTTCCATCTTCCATACGATTTGGAGAGGCAACTATAAAAGCTTACCGCTTATGGGAACTCTCATATGGCAGCATCAACACCCTTGATGTCATCCAAAAACAAAGCCCCTTTGCAGTTCCACCACCTGGTTGGTGCTCCCATTGTAAAAATGATGCTGAGACTCAACACCATCGCTTCAACCACTGGAATCCTCTTCTGGAATGCTCAATAAATACCCTGCCCAAACAAACAGCTCCACAAGTCTACTCTCCACGTTCCTTGAAGCCCATCCTTCATCAAAGGAGAAGGAAATTCTTTGGCTTAATCTTGGGCTGAAACTTGGTGTCCGACTTGAGAGAAATGATATCAACAAGTCTAAGTCCTTTGGGAAACTCTCCAATCACCTTTTTATCAGTCTCTCTTGGTGTAAATTTTATGCTCAATTTCCTTCTTACAACTTATCTTTTCTATGTGCTAATTGGACAACATTTTTGTAACTTCCTTGGCATTGGAGTTTTTTGTTATCCTCCCTCTTTAGTAATTTAATTCTATCAATGTAATTGGTTTGCCATTAGAAAAATAAAATAAAGTAAAGACAAGCTATATGAACAAGTGACTCAAGGATAAATAAATATACATATATTGTCAATTCGCTCTTCTTACCAGGGGCTTCTCTCTTTTTTTAGGGGAAAAAAAAAAAAGATAAATGAAGCCACTTCTTTCACCTTGTTGATAGACCAGTTGAAATGGACCTATACCATATAATAGAAGCATGCATTAAAGCATTCTTACTACAAGAAGACGATTTAGAAGACTTTGTGCATGGGGTATCACAGACGTGGCTAATTCTCTTAATTTAATGCTAATATAATCTCACTAAGGAGAAAAGTTCAAGAAGGACCACTTACAGAAGTTGTTCAAGACAAGCTTTTTTAACATTTCAGGCTGCATCATATCTTCTGCCGAAATCAGATTATTTAACCAAGACAAGACATAAGGAGGACGAGATGAAAGGGGATATGAAGCCGATAGCAGAGCTCCTAATGGAACAACTGGAACATTAAGAGCCTGAGCAGGATCTGCCTGTAATTCAAATACAGTAATGTTGCTGCATAATCACGATATTTATGACATTGAAGTGTAGAACTAATAAAAAGAAAGACACAGTTGATGATATTTGCTAATAATAAAAACTTTCTGGGTCAAAGACATTTGCTAATTACTCAGTTGAAACATTTGCTTAAAAACTTGCTTTCACTCACAAGGGGCAATAGCAATTTCAGGGCTGATTTCGAAGAAGTATAGTCAAGGGATGACGCCAAAGTAACAATAGCAGCCAATCTGGGGTCTTGTCCTTCGAAACCTTATAAGAGAATAGATAAATGTGTAAGAAACTACTCATTCCAGCTAACAGGAAGAAAAAAGAGAAGGTCAAGGTAGTAATGCATATAAATAACTTTTTTCCCCCTAATATACGTAAATTTACACATTAAGGATTATTAAAGGAATAATCTGGTAGATAATAATATCAAAGAATAAAAATGATAATGAAAATATAAAAACTCACTGCTTAAAGTGGCTGCTAAAACTTAAGTTATGCAACTCTTAAGTTCAAGGACTTCACAAATAATAAACACCACAAAATAATTTAATCATATCAACTTTACTGATGCATAATGAGGCATAGCAGAAGCAGTCATCCTTCGTCATATGAAAGAAAAATAAACCTAAAACATGTAGTGCCATTCCAATGTGTAAAAATTGTTAAGAGAAGAATTTTTATGTAAAAAGAAAGATAACAAATCTCTAAACTTTAGAGATGTTCAATGGATTACAAATTTTATTACAAAGGAGGCTAGAACACCGTAAGGGGCAAGGGTGGAGGGAACCCTGCCCAAAGAACTACAAAAGAAAAGGGCTGCGCTGGCCATTGGTTTGACCTTTCCTCTGTTTTATTTTTTCTTCTTATTTGCAGGTGGTCTTATTCATCTTTTCTTCTGCAGCCATGAAAATGCTACAAACAGTTATGCCAATTTTTTTTCAATATTTCTGTCTGTCATGTGTTTAATGGCACTTTAATCCTTAGCTTCTCCGTACTTGAACATCTAATCTGTAATATGTATGCTAGCAAATTATGATAGAACTAATATTGATTACTGATCTTAAGCACACAATTACAGTCTTACATCACATGCAAGTAGGGTTATTAAAAAATTGTCCACAGTTGTAATTTCTAAACAGCCTAGAAGGAAAACCTACTAAAAAGGGCTAAATACCAAAGAGACTTTTGTGTGCATAGGAGTGTGTGCTTGTTAGAGAGAGAGAGGGAGAGAAGAAAAGCAGCAATATTTATATAAAATAAAAAGTATAGTTCGGTGAGAAAAAAACAAAGGATGCATAAATATAGCATTTAGCCACAGAAACATGGTATCAAAAAAAAAAAAATAATAATAATAATAAATATCATGTGATTATTGATTAATGGCACTTCCATCATTAGTTTCTCCGGACTTGAACACATCTAATCTGTAATATGTATGCTAGCATCGTAAGTATGATAGAGCTAATATTGATTACTGATCTTAAGCACACAATTATAGTCTTACATCACATGCAAGTAGGTTATTCAAAAATTGTCCACAGTTGTAATTTCTAAACAGCCTAGAAGGAAAACCCACTAAAAAGGGTTAAATACCAAAGAGACTTTTGTGTGCATAGGAGTGTGTGCTTGTTAGAGAGATAGAGGAAGAGAGGAAAAGCGGCAATATTTACATAAAATAAAAAGTATAGTTTGGGGAGAAAAAAACAAAGGATGCATACATATAGCATTTAGTCACGGAAACATGGATATCAAAAAAAAAAAAAAGGATGTGATTAATGGCACTTCCATCATTATCTTCTCCAGACTTGAACATCTAATCTGTAATGTTATGCTAATTGCTAGCATCTTAAGTATGATAGAGCTAATATTGATTACTGATCTAAAGCACACAATTATAGTCTTACATCACATGCAAGTAGGCTTATTCAAAAATTGTCCAGAGTTGTAATATCTAAACAGCCTAGAAGGAAAACCTACTAAAAGGGGCTAAATACCAAAGAGACTTTTGTGTGCACAGGAGTGTGTGCTTGTTAGATAGAGAGGGAGGGAGAGAGGAAAAGCAGCAATATTTACATAAAATATATATGTATATATAGTTTGGGAAGAAAAAAACAAAGGATGCATAAATATAGCAATATGGCCCGGACGCTCACGAATATCAAAAGAAAGAAAAAGTCATAGAAACATGAAATGCACGAGAAAGTACACAAACTTACCACAACGAGAAAGTTTTGCATAAAGCAAGATACCACCCATGGAGTGCCCTATAGCAAGCAATTTACCATCCTTTGGCTTGCTTACAGCCCTTATATAATCAATCTGCAATGAACATTGAAAAATTTAAATTCTTAGTACGGATGAATCTAATTCAAATTCAAATTTAGTTAAAATATAAGATGAATCAGTGAGATCTAAAACGTTCAAGTTCAGTGCAGAAACTAGCCACACTTAGCCACTCTAGATATGCCTTTTAAACAAGATAAAATGTCACCTCACCGCAGCAGGAACGTCCTCCAGCAGGTAATGGTCAAAGTCCCAGTCATACTTTACTATTAAATCAAGTTGTTTCTGAAAATCGTCGATCGTTGAAGAAAATCGATCTTGCAAATTGAACAATGGAGGTGAAACAGATCGCTGACCTTCTTCGATAATTTCTACAAGCCTTTGACTCAAATCCCTGATCTGGCCAGCAATGACTGAGGTCTGCCCTGTTTCCAACAAATTCAAAAGTCTTCCCCTTACCTCATTAAAACGTTCAGATAATTGGGAGTCAACTAATAGTTTTGACATTTGATCAAATAGTTTAGCTGACATAATCTTTGATTGACCTTCACTTAAAAAGCCAGATAACCGTTCTGACAAACGCATAAAAGTTTCTGTTAACTCTGTCACCAGACTTGACTCATCCCAAATTGTTCCTATTCCTGGGAAGTACTCTTCTTCAACCATAGAAAGGTCAGATTCTTTCCCGTTTGTGCAACTATTTGATTTTGAGAGGTCATTTAGAATTTTTGTTGACTCTTCTGCCATTTGTAAAGTTCCATTAACTTTGCTCTCAGAGACTGCTTCCATTTGCTCAGACTTAACATTAGCTGAATGTTCAATTTCTTTCGAATCTGGTTCCTGCAAGCTCAGTCCTGCACCTCGAACTTCAAGAATCCATGTATCATACCCCTGACCAGACATATGCCGTGCAAAAGAACACTGCAAACATGTAAAAGTACATGACTAAAAGGACCATGTAGGTTGTTGAATCCAATGAGGATGAAAAAATTAATTCTTAGTGGATGATGTCATCTTTGAATACATTAGCACAGACAATCCGATGGACTAAGACAAATATGACTCATTAAATGCAACTTTTCATAGCATGGGAATATGACAACTGTGGTGGCTCAAGGAAAGAAAATGGACAGACAGAGGAACAGAGAGAACATGAACATAAACTCATATGCTTGAAATAACCAATGAACAGAACTTCAAGATAGTCTGAACAAACATTTAAAAGTAGTAGTGATGGCAACAATGTTGGATCTACTGTGAGAGTAAATGTTGAAAGATTTGGCCTATAAGGAGAACAGAAAATTTTGTAGACAATAAAAGTGCCAAATGAAGAACAGTGAGTTGCTAAGTTCAAATTTTTATAGCCTCCCCTTGGTTCTGATTGTGTTTTTCAATAATTATAAAACTTATCATCTACTAGGTGGAAAGGGAACTATCATTCAGCACGGAACTAAATACAATTTAAAAAAAATAATAAAAAACACAAGCTCTTAAACATTAATAACCGCTTCTCGAGAAACTTAAAAGTTAAAACTAAAGCACAAGATAATTTACCCCAGGGGCGAGATCATAACCAATGGCATTAGTCCCGACTCCTGACAATAGCAACAGCGGGTGATTCCTCGGCGGCGCCTGTCCATCGCGTTTTAAACAGAAAAACAATTCAAACTCAAGCGACTACTAAATCGCATCGCAAAATCACAATCCGCAAACAAAAACCCGAAGCTCTCTTGTGTGACTACGCAATCGAATAGGAATCTAAAAAATTACCTGAGGAGAGGAATGGTAGCGCCAGAGAGCAAGCCTCCAGTCGGAGTTCGGAACGGAGACATAATGAAGCTCGTCGGCCGTACAAATCGACGGCTTCTCGGAAACTTTGACGTTGGCGGCGGCAGTGGAGAAGGCTCTCAACTTGAACGACGGCGAGAAAACGTGACCTGGAACAGCGGCCGTTCGCCGTAGCACGAGATTGGGGGAGAGGGAGCGGAAGGTGGAGGAAGCTATGTGATAAGCACAGCGAAGATCGGATTGCACCGTCGCCATCGCCGGAGCAGGAGGAGAGCGTCGTCACCGACCAACGTGCTCTTCTTCTTCTTTTCTTTCTCTTTGTTCCGATGAGTAAATTAAAAAGAAAAAACGGAAAAAGAAAATAAAAGAATCCTCTTTTTTCCTTTTTCTTTTTTCTTTTTTTCCTTTATTTGATTTTCTTCGGGTGGCCGCATTCTCCCTCTGCCCTTTTTGCCTCTTCGCGGTTTGGGATCCTGTGGATGGTTACGTGGACTTCCGTACGGGTGAAAACGTGGCACTACAGCAGCCAAACACGGGAAACTCGTGTCAAAATAAAACTTCCTGGAATAATCTAAAAGAAAAAACAATTCACCAATAAATGATGTGATGCTTACATAAATAGCCCTTCTTTAGTCAAACCTTGATTTTAAAGTAATTAATTGGAGCCGGTGGTAACGTTTTCTTTTCTTTCCCTTATTTTTAATAAAGGAAAATAAAATGGCATAGTTTCTAACTTCCAAAAATTCAATCACGGTGAAACAATAATTCTATTTATACTTTTGTAATAAATTTTTCGAAATTTTTATACCATTTTGAAATTTTTTTTTTTGGTTTAAATACATGTATTCTAAGCGTCCAACGGATAAAAGGAGGCTGACAAAATTTTGCTTGTCCCAAGTCAAAAAAATTGTATATAAATTAATATTTTGTAATTTTAATTTTATTTTTTCTCTTGATTTCTTATCTTTAAAAGCTTACAGAATTAAAAATTTTGGATGTGAGAATGTGAATAGCGGTTAAGCCCTTAAATTTTTATATTTATTTTATTTTTTCAATTAATATATTGACTAAAGGAGAAGGATAAAGAATGCTCGAGTTTTGGTGAAAAAATGGTTGGGAGAAAGACTAAGAAAAAACTCTTTATATAGTTGTAGAAAATAAATAATTACAAAACTTTTGAAATTCTTATTAATTATAATTAAAAATAAGTTAAAATTTTTAAATTAATTCATAGAAACAAAGAGAGATACTATATATATTATAATTTACATTCCAACATTTGACATTATTAAATTATAAAAATAAAGTGGAATTAAGAGAGAAAAAAGAGTGAGAAATGGAGGGAGTGGCGTGTGGGAGAAAAAGGAGAGAATGAGAAAGAAAATTCTATATTTAAAGGATAAAATTTTCCCAAAATAACTATGAAAATGTTTAAATTAAAAGGCAATATGGAGAGAAAATTTATTCCTATAACCCCTTTTATATGTAGTATAGATTTACACGAGCGATAGGTACCTATGTTTGAAACTTTAGAAAAAGAAAGAGAATTGAAGGAGGAAAAAAGTAACACTAGACGGTGAATATACAAATCTTTTATAGAAAAAAAATAAAGAAATAGAGTCTTCATATAATTGTATAAGTGAAAGAAGGTTGTGAAACTATTAAGATTGATCGTAAAACTATTCAAATTTCAAAACTTTTCAAATTCTATTATTAATTATATTTAAATTGTGTCATCATAAATTTTAGGGAAATTGCATTGGCTAGCAAATGAGTTTTATATATTTAACAATATAGCACCTTTTTTTACATTTTCAAATATAGCAAATTTTTTAGATTTATGATTTTGAATGTTTAAGTATTCCCAAATTACCCTTTCCAGACATACATATTATAAATATATCAGACACGCATATCAGTAGTATATCAAATGTATATCATACATTTATATTTCAAATATATCAAACACTCATATCAATAGTATATCACATACATATCCAAGTATATCAGAATATCATATCAATAGTATATCGGATTTATATCAGACATATATCACATAGAAACTCACATAATGTATATAAGAATATCATATCAATAATATATCAGATGTATATCATATATATATCGTATTTAATAGTTTTTTTGTTCATCGTTGGGATTCTTTTTCGCAAGCTAGGGTTTAATTTTTTAGAATCTCAAAAAATTCATATCGTATTTAATAGATTTTTTGTTCATCTCGTTCTTCATTCTAGTTTAAATTAGTGAAGTGTTTATGTTCTTCATTCTATTCTAATAGGAAGTATATTAGTTGAGTATATTAGTGTGATATACTAAATATTTTAGGTATATCAGTGTTATATATGACATATATCATGACTATATCAGTGATAAATCTATAAATGGTAAATCATATAACCATATAAGAAGTTATATAAGTGGTATATCATTTGTATATACCAATAATTCCAACATGCAGTCACATGTTATATATACCAACAACATGTAATCACATCAGTTGTTCATTTTGAACCAAAATTTTGATCTCAAAAACAATTTTTTTTCATGAAACATCATACAATCATATCAGAAGTATATATATTAATACACATATATCATAGTTATATCAGAAGTATATCACTGGTAAATTGGAAGTGTATCAAGTACATATCAAACATATATCAGTGGTAAATAAATGATAAATCATATAAGACATATATCAGTACTACATCAGTGGTAAATCTCATATTAGAAGTTATATCAGTAGATCGATCAATGGTAAATCATATAATCACATCAGATGTTATATTAATAGACATCATAGTTATATCAAAAGTAAATCAATTGTATATTAAATGTATTTCAAATATATATTAGACATATATCAAGGTTGTAGTAAATCATATAATCATATAAGAAGTTATATTAGTAGATATCATCGTTATATTAGAGGTATACTAGTGGTAAATCAGATACATATCATGTATATATCACAAATATATCAGTGTTATATTAGTGGTAAATCAATACATGATAAATCATATAATAAGTTAAATTATATAAAGTAAATATCACTAATAAATATGTTTATTAGTTGTAGTATCACTAATAAATAAAAAGTATATAAAGTAAATATCAGACGTATATAATAGTGGAAATTGAAGGGAAATCGAAATGTAGGGTTTTATGGACTTATTTTTGGGTTTCTTGTGCTTAGGTTTGAGCTTGCAGAGCAAAGTTTTCATTTAATGTGAGCCTTCGTTTTTCTTTTTTTGAAAAAAAGTACTATATTTGAACAAAACATAGTTGATATTTTGCTTATTTTACTAATTTTTTTTTTTGTCATATCTCAAGTTGTCCCTTGAATAATTGATACTAAGAAATAAATTTTATTAAGTTTTAACATTCCATTGTCATTTATAAATTTTATGAACTTATTTAAATTATTAATTTTAAATATTTTGATACTTTTGTTTTGAAACAATATTAAATATTAAATTTTTGGAGAATTTGTGTGAGTGTCGTAAAGAATTTAACTTTTAAAAAATATGAAAGGATTTATTTATGCATGAGTAGATGAGTTATTATTACTACTATTCAAGATCATATTATTTGAATGAGTAGTCTCTTTATATCTATACTATATCTAAATGGGGCTATAGAGGAGAATTTTTACCTCTCTATTCTGCCCCCAACTTTTTAAGATATACCCAATTTATCCTTCGTATATACTATATACTCTTCTACAGGATGCTATTATTTGAATGAGGTGTCTCTTTATCTATATCTATACTATATCTAAATGGGGCTATGGAGGAGAATCTTTACCTCTCCATTTTATCTCTAACTTTTTAAGATATACCTAGCTTATATGAAATAAAAAAAAGTTTTCATTTAAATCAATACATACTCTGTGCATTATGATTAACATGTTTGACTACATCTTCTTGGTGAGCGTTTTCTATGGTTTGACAACGACATCCTGTAACATAATAATGGAAAAAATAAAACTCTAATTAATAATGTGCCACTAGACATAAAAATCAAAACTATAATTAATAATGTTTTGTTATAATCCATATCCAACGTGAACTTCAAAATCGAAAACTTAATGATCCAATCAAATAAACTTCAAAATTCATCAAACTCAGCACATAAAATCCACCACCATACTCACACATAAACTTCAAAATCCATCACTAAAATCCAGGGAAATTTGGCTTAATAGCCTTTTTCAAAGGCTAACTATAAAATGTATCACCACCTCTAAATTTTATGTTTTCTAACAATTTGGTTCTGTCACTTTTGCATGAAATTACAAATTACCAATTTTTATTTTATCTCTCCTTTTCTCTGCTCTTTCTCCTTCTTCTCAACTCTATCTCTCTCTCTTTTTCATTCTTCCATTTTTGTGCAGATCCTCTTCTTTGTGATTTTTTTTTCACTTTCAGATTTTTCAAGGACGTGCACTCCTCTCTCTCTCTTCCATTTTTTCTACACCACATTCCATTCCATTTTTTTGCTTTCCTTTGATTTTGGATTTTTTTGTTTTGATTTTGAAGGCATGCATTTTTCTCTCTCCTCCTCTCTCTTCCTTATTCTTCATCCATCTCCTCTCAATCTTGACTATATTGTTGGACCTTAAAATTCAAAAAACAAAATAACAAATACATAGCACAAAAGAACGGGGTCACACCTCAGAGAGAGATTAAAACTCAACAAAGAACACCAAGAACAAGGAGTTCACATAAACCCCCCAAATAAAAAAAGAAAAAAACAGAACACAAGCTCTCGCTCTCTCGCTCCCGCTCCCGCTCTTGACGCTCTCGCTCCCGCTCTCGGCCCTCTTGCTCCCGCTCTCGCCCCTCTCGCTCTCGCTCTCGCTCTCGGTGCTCTCGTTCTCGCTCTCGACGCTCTCGCTCTCGCTCTCGACGTCTGTTTCTCATCGGAAAAAAATGGTAAATGGAGCAACTTGTTGCTGGTTTTTTCAGAGAAGATGAAAGAGAAAAGAATGGGAATGGGAGGAGGCAGCTTAGGAGGGATAAGGAGGAAGATAACAATAAATATTTAGGTTTTTTTATGGTGAGAATAGTTTTCATATAGCCTACAAGAAAGAGGGGGAAATTGAGATTTATGACCCCTCCAATAATTCATTGTGGATTTATATCCCCTTTTGAAAAAAACTAGTTTGTGACCACACTCCCCCTTTTATTTTTTTTTTACCAATTTCATAATTTTTAAATGGGAAATTACTGTAGTAGTATCCTTATGTTTCAAAATAACAATCTCTCCCCCCTCATTATAAAAAAACAAATTTCTTTTCAATCTTTATTCCTTCCACAAGACTTAAAAAATCTAACTTTTAAATTTGAAAAATC